CTGCTTCTAATCTAGTATTTCATGAAATAACCAAACATATAGAAGTTTATTGTCATTTCATTAGAGAAAAGTTACAAAATGGAACAATATTATTGAAGCATGTGTGCATAGGGGAACAACTAGCCTATAGTCTTATGTAATCACTTCCAAGAGTTTGAGTTAAATATATATGTAATAAGCTAAGCATTATTGATATATATAGGTGTTAGTGTATACATATGTGAGTTGGAATATTATGGGAATATTCCATGAGGGACAACTTATGAGGGATTAATAGGAAGCATTAATGTGTAATTAGTAATTGATTTTTTTCTTTAATATTGTCTATATAATAAAAGATTTATCCAAGGGATTAGCAAGCCTTAATTCTGACACAACCATTTGGTTTAGAATTATTCACTCCCAGTCTATTATTCCCACTTGAGGCTAGAGAATTACCAACACCTATCATGCCTTGTTCATGAACTAGAAGTAGCCTAACTATCAATGCTACTTTTAATTTATGCATTAACCACATCAGAGGTTATACCCACAAATCTCACAAGGATGGAAACGTGTTTAAACTTGGAAACAAATACATTGGATTCAATACTAGTGCATCCAGAACCCTAATAAAGGACATGTATTCTTGCTTGAATTCTTGATGAATAGATTGTGAAAAGAGAATACTATCATCATTGATGGTCCAGCATGAAGTCGATTTGCCAGTGTAAACGTTTGCTTTCATCTTTCATCAAAATTTTGACATAACATTGAAAATAAATAGACTGAGCCACTACGGACCAAGCAACAAAACATGGCATGCATGAATTTGGTTGTTAAATATCTAATTCAATGAATTTAAGGAAATGACGGCATGTAGATTAAGGTAACAAAAATAAACCAAAAAATGAATTTAAAAGCAAATGGGTTAAAGCCACATTAGATTTCAAAAAGTTAAATTTGCTACATTATATCTTCTTCTTCAAATCTAATAAATAGACTAAAATTCTAATATATCTTAGCCATCCATTTCTATTTTGAACAAAAATGTTTTAGACATAAATAAAAAAGATATGGAGTTACAACCTAGAAGTTAAAAGCAAATGAAGCTTGGAATGAGTGAAACCTCCATAGAAGTCCTTCAACGACATCGTTGAAGCTCCTTTCCTTTTTCGATATTCTCTCTGTCTTTACTACTACAAGCGTAAAGTATGTCTATAAAGTATAAGCTCCTTTTAAACTCCCTTATGCCATTTTTGCTTCCATGGTGCAGAGTTCAAACAAGGTAAGACGGCAGAAGCGAGAAGGTGAACGAAACGAGATTAACGACGTTCAAAGTTGACATGAAATCCACAAACTAGTGTCATGCCCTGGCCAGTCGCATGTCTTAGGTCAGAGCTCGTAACACTTGTACTAACCTACTTTAAGATTATTTTTCCAATTTTACCTTCATTCACACTGATTTGAGATGAAGAACAGTAAAATTTGACTCAGTAAAACACTTTTTCAATCTGTATATCGTACTGTAATGAAAACAAAATTAAAAAATGATTTAAAATTATGATATTCGATTTTATTTTATTGATATTTTTATTATACTTAAATATTAAATATATATTAATTTGGAATAAAAATAAAAAATAAAAAAATCAAACGAAATCGAATTATATATTTTTATTATTATTTTATATATTTTTAAAATTTATATAAAATAAAAAATATTATTTTTATATAAAAATAAATTTCAAAAATTGATTAATCAAATAAAATCAATAAAATTTGATAAAATTAAATTGATTTAAAAAAATTAATTCATATTTGAATTAAATTTTAAAAATTTATAATATTATATATTATTAAAAAATATCGAATCAAAACCAATTCAAATCGTTATTATTTTATACTTTAAAATTTTAAATATTATTTAATAAATATAACTGACCACATGTTTAGTTCAGTTGAATTGAGTTTTTATTCTGGCTATATTTTTGAAGGACCACCATTTCTATGTTTGGTTCAAATTTTATCTTCGTAATTGCTTGTATATAGAATTACCATTCCCTAAACACCTGAAATTTCATTCTTTTCATCTACTCAAGAGTAGCAATTCCATGCTTATAAGGAATTGATTAAAATTTTTTCTTCTTAGCGTATCCTTAAAACACATCTAAATTTTTTTCTTCATTTATTGTATCTTAGAAAATAAGAGGTAACAAAAAAAAAAAGGAGACTAAAAAAGGGTTTGCCAAACAAACCAACAAACATCATTTCTCACAAATATGTGAGGAAGTAACAAAAAAAAAACAAAAAACTTTTAAGAGACGGTGGTGGTTATGACGATGAGTAGTGGTAATTGGAGACAATTGAGAAATATGAAAGGAGGGAGAAAAATTATTGTTTTGATGGCTGAAAAAAGGGTCAGCAATGGTCGAAATTGGTTGAAACAAATGGCATAATTTTGGGCATTTGAAATTATATTTAGTTTTATTGGAATTTTTTAGAACACTAACTTGAAAAACAAAGGGAAAAGGTTGAAAGAATACAAATATGAATTTTGGAATGAAATTGGTATCAATCAATGACAGTCAAATAGAGGTGGTGAAGGGTGGTGAACTTTTAGAGACGAGCTTTAGTTCTAAGAGAAGAAGAGAAATGAGGAAGAAAAAGGGACAGTGAGAAAAAAAAGGAATAAAGAAAAGAGAAAGAAAAAGAAAAAGAAAAGTACAAAATTTTTATTAAATTTTATTAATTTATAAAATTTATTTATTTTGGGTAATTTTTATTTTTATTAATTAATTATAATTAATATTGTTTTTATTTATTAATTAGGATTAATTATGTTTTTCTTAATTAAATATGATTAATAATTAAATTTAATTAATTAATAATAGGAAAGAAATGAATTAATTAATAATTATTTTTATTAATTAAATATGATCAATATTATTTTCATAATAAATTATAATTAATTAAGTAAAATAATAAAATAAGTTTTTAAACTTATTTTAATTATATTTTTAAATTAGCCAAACATATTAATATTGATTTTTAATATATTTTATTTTAATGAACCAAACATCATAATAATTATTCTATTCTATTTTTCTTATTTTTTTATCATAAAATATTTATTTCATTTTTCTTCTATTCCATTCTACAAACCAAACATATTGTAAAAATAAAGAACTTCTCTATACAATCACCACTAAAAAAATATTCCATATGGTATAAAATAAAAGAAAATTGATTGATTTATTTATTTTTTAAATTGAAGACCTAGGATTTGAATTTTACTCTTTTTATCGTATTTAATGATTAGCTACAAAATTCTAAATTTCCCTTATAAGATTAGGCCATTAGAGCGTAAAGTGACTTGCTTCAAAAAGTAAAATGTAAAGTGACTTGCTTCAAGTTGCTATGATGAATATTTAAATTTAATTCGTTGATTGTTGAAGCGGATATTTGAATAACATATCAATTTAAATTCAAATGATTTAAGTTCTCTTTAACATTTATTGCAAGTTTAATTAAGGTATTTGATTTTTTTTAACATTTTAATTAAATTAATATTAATAAGTTATTTATTTTATTATATTTTCTATCTAATTACAAGTTCAAATAAACAAAAGAAAGAGATTCAAATTCTTTACTTGAATTAATTGTAAAAAAGTCTATGGTTGATCTCAAATACAAAAAATAAAACGGATGAAATTCAAACTTAGCATGTTAGTTGAAGCTTCAACTTAGTTTGATTACAGTCCAAAATAAAAATAAATACACAAGTAATCTCCTAGCTAGAAATTAATAATTTAAATTTAAAATTTAATCCAAATCATCCATTCGTATTCTCGCTTATTCTTCCCGAGCATAACAGCAAATGCCCCTTTATTGTAGCCCATAAAAACCAATGAAAAATTCCAGGAAATTGGGTTTTTTGGCATCAAATTGATTGTTGAAATAAAGCCCAACAATGATGACCTCGGCCCTTCCCTTCTTTCTCCGTCCATCCATCTCCTAAAATATTTAGCTCCAAGTTGAGCGCCAAAACTCTCCCATGTTTATGCGTATCTCCCTATCCTCTTTCATTAACTCTCTAAAATTGCATTTACCATCAGCTGTTCAAAATGACAAAAACACCCTAATTTTCATTTTCCGTCTATATTACGACGCCGACCGCCGTAAAAATATTATGTATTTGAACGGGATCTGATCTTTCCACTCCAAGGAAAAAGATTTGATTCGCTCGTATGCTGCATCTATTCCCTTCCCAAGTCAATTTTGAGATGATATACATATATATTATATTATTTGGGTGTTCTCTGATAGTTTTATTCCCCTATTTTGATTTTACAACTTATACTTCTTTTTTATTAATTTTAATTTACCGTTAAATTTATTATTTTCTATTTATTTGATTAAAAATTATTACATGAATAAATTTTTTTAAATTCATAATTTTAAATTATTAATTTTAATATTATGCTAACTGAATTAAATGTGAATCGATATATCTTATACTTTTTAATTTAATTTTTTAAAAAAATATTTTTTGTTATGTTTTATGATATTTTATACTTAAATCATATATATATTTTAAAAAAAAAAATGTGATTGACATAGTCGGACAAATTTTTTATTAACAATAAAAAATAATCTTTCAATTTAAATTTAACGGTCCATCATATTTTTTTAAAAAATTTTGTAATTAAATTACAAAAATAAAATTAATTATTATTTCATACATTATTGATAAATTTTTTAGCTTCAAAATTAAAATATTATCACATATTTTTTATTTATTATATTAAATTTTTATATTTTAAAAATATATCTTAATATGATATTTGATAATTTTCTAATTCTGTTGATTAAATTTAAAAACTTGACAAATGGATTAGATTTTTTTTATATTATTATCAAAATATTATTATAATTAAAAATAATTAAATAAATCAGAAACTTACTCATATATTCTTGCGATTTATTTGTTAAAAAAGAAAAAAAATTCCAAGTCAGCTGCTAAGACTCTAAGTTTGAAGATTTACAGATGAGGAGCCGATGAAGGTAAAAATGGCTCCCCAGTAGTATTATACGATTCAAAATACGGTCCTTATCCTTCTATCGTATCTCCTTAGTCGTTACCTACGACTACGAGGGTACTCTTGTACTTTTCCTAAATTCACCTCGAATTCACAAATCATAAAAGGCTAAGATCGTTAAAAAGAATTGTTAAAGAAAAAAGAAAAAAATTACAACACGAAGGTTTCGTCTTTCAGACCAAGAACACAAAGGCGAGAGGAAGAAACAGAATACAACACTCGACAAAAAATATATATATAATACGAAGCCAAATAGAAGGAGGGATTGAGAGGTTTTCTCTTTTAATTCCATTTTTGTTTGCTTGTGGCAAAGATTTCTCTTTCTGCAGCTCTCAAATTCGTCATCGTTTCTCTCGATCTGTTCTTCACGTTCGTCGATTTATAGCTTCCCCTCACGATTTTCTCGCCTCCGATCTATCTCACTTCTTTTTTCTCTGGGTAAATTTTCTTGTCTTTTTAATTCCAAACATTGTAAATCTTCTTGTCCATTTTCACGGTATTCAAACCCTAGAAATTGTGTAGGATTTCAAACGCTTTCGTATTTTCTTCTGGGCTTATTGTTTTCTTCATTTCAGTGAAACGCTACATTGATTTGGCTGATGTTGTTTTGTGGTGAAACTTTTTGCGAATTAGGTTAAATTTGGAGGGGAGGATTTTGAGGAGTTGGAAAAGGGGGAAGTTTTGAAGTATGAGCATCGATAGCCCTGGGAAAGGAGAGATAGCTAGGGTTTGAGAGAAGTTGGAGAATTCGGAGGAAATTGTGGGGATTCCCATGGGCGATGGAGGAGTTGCGTGCATGCCTTTGCAGCAGCAGCAGCAGCAGCAGCATCAACATCAGCATATCATGGAGAGGTTTCCAGTTACAGAAAAAACGCTTTGTCCCAACAATGGGCTCACTTCAAAGCCGGTTAAGCTCGAAGACAACGCACAGCAGCAGCAACCACAGCAGCAACCGCTGCGAAAGAAGAAGAAAATTGTGAAGGTTAAGAAAGTAGTGGTGGTTAAGAAGAAGGTGCCAGCAGGAACAGCAGCAGCAGCAGCAGCAGCAGCAGCAACAGCAACAGCAACAGCACAGAGGAATGAACTGATAGTTAAAGCAAAGAGTGAAGCGGGATTGAAGAGCAGTAAAGAGGTTGATAAAGGTGAGAATTCTGGGCAGAAGGAGGACGTGGAAGAAGGAGAATTGGGGACGTTGAAGTGGCCCAGAGAAGGGGAGAATGGGGAGGTGGGGACTGACAAGTCAAAGAGTGGGGAAATTGAGAAGCGAGAGATTGCTCGTGAAAAATGGAGGAAAGGGGAAGTAGAGAAGGGAGAGATTGTTTCTGAGGGAAAACGGGAGGTGGAGAAAAGGGAAAAAGGGGAAGTGGTGAATGGAGAGATTGTTATGGGCAAATGGCGAAAAGTAGAGGCGGGAAAGGGGGAGATAGTTCTGGACAAAGGAAGGAAAGGGGATGCTGAAAAGGGTGAATTTGGGTCATGGAGAGGCGCCAAAGATGAGGTAGAGAAAGGTGAGTTCATTCCTGATAGATGGCATAAAGGGGAAGTGGTAAAGGATGAGTACAGTTATGGTAAATCTCGTAAGTATGAGTTAGGAAAGGAAAAAAGTTGGAAATATGAGATGGAACGCACACCACCTTCTGGAAAGTACTCGGCTGATGATCTTTATCGCAGGAAGGAATTCAGTAGAAGTGGTTCTCAGCATTGCAAAAGTTCTTCCAGATGGGAAACAAGCCACGAAAGGACTTCCAGAATCAGTTCAAAGATTGTGGATGAGGAAGGCTTGTATAAGAGTGAGTATAGCAATGGTAAGAACCATGGACGAGATCACCCTTCTTCTGGTAATCGGTTGAAGCGGCATGGTACTGATTCAGATAACAGTGAGCGGAAGCACTATGGAGATTATGGCGACTATGCAAATTCCAAAAGTAGGAGGCTCTCCGATGATTTTGGGCGCAGTTCCTATACAGAGCACTATTCACGCCACTCTGTTGAGAGGTTCTATAGAAATTCTTCTTCATCAAGGCTTTCTTCGTTGGAGAAATACTCTTCAAGACATCATGAATCCTCCTTGTCATCTAGAGTTGTTTATGACAGGCATGGACGAAGTCCAGGATATTCTGAGCGGTCCCCACGTGATAGGAATAGGAATTATGATCACAGAGATCGGAGCCCGATTCGACGGGAGAGATCCCCGTATGCTCGGGAGAGATCCCCTTATAGGGATCGGAGCCCAATTCGACGGGAGAGATCCCCATATGCCTGTGAGAGATCCCCATATGCTCGTGAGAGATCCCCATATGATCGGAGTCATCACCATGATCATAGAAACAGAAGTCCTATTAATGCAGAGCAGTCCCCACAGGATCGATCCAGATTCCATGAACGCAGGGACCGGACTCCCAGCTATTTGGAGCGGTCTCCACAGGATCGGAATAGGCCCAATTATCTCAAAGACACTAGTAGAAAAAGTTCTGCAAATGAGAAGCGCAATTCACAATATGGTTTTAAGGGGCAAGAAGATAGAGTCAGCCAGAGGGATTATAGCGGAAGAGACCCACATTCCTCAACTAAAGAATCTCAAGATAGGACCAGTGTGCACAATTTTAACGGATCAGATGGAAAAAATGCTGTTTGTGAGTCTCACAAAGAAGATCAATCTGTGAGTCCCAAAGTAAACTGCAAAGAACCTCCTGTTCCTGTTGATGAGGCACCTCCTGAAGAGCTGCAATCAATGGAGGAAGATATGGATATATGCGACACACCACCTCACTTTCCTGTGGTGGCTGAGTCAGCACTGGGTAAATGGATTTATCTTGATTATTTTGGTGTTGAACGCGGGCCTTCAAAATTAAGTGACCTTATGGCACTTGTGGAAGAAGGGGTTCTTTTGTCAGATCATTTAATCAAGCATTTAGATAGTGATAGGTGGGTGACTGTTGAAAATGCAGCTTCACCAATGTTGACTGCAAGTTTACCGTCCATTGTGTCTGATGCTGTAACACAACTGGTTAGCCCTCCTGAAGCTCCTGGTAACTTACTGGTAGAAATTGGAGATCCAAGGCCCCTTGGAACTTACGGTGGTGATGAGGCAGTGATGAGCTACGAAGATGACAATGCAGCTGCATCAGAGTCCTTAGAAGATCTTCACATTGATGAAAGGGTTGGAGCATTATTGGAGGGTATTGACATTGTTCCTGGCAAGGAGCTTGAGATAGTTGGAGGTATTCATCCCTCATTATATTTCTTTTACTCCAATGCTTTTTAACTCCTCTCTCTGAGTCTCTGCCTGCACACTCTTTTCTACTTATTCTTTTTGTTTGCTTCCTCGTGTATTTATACATGCTTGTACACTAATATGCAAAATGATATAGACATATACATGATTGTGTATATTTGAGGAGATTTCTTATTCCCTGTTTTTCTGGATTTTTATCATTATGCAGAAGTTCTGCAAATGACCTTTGATCATGCAGAATGGGAAGGGTGGGAAAATTCTGAAGGTATGTATTTCTTAGAGTAGCCTTTATTTTCAATTAAATACTTGTCTATTGACGCATATTTTACCACTGAACATTTGAGTCTCCCCCCCCCCCCCATCTTTTACTGATGAGATAATCCCTTAGAAGGTGATAAGTACAAACAGCTGGCATTTGGGAAATTCTAAGTATTTCAGACGTTGTGGTTGGCTTTTATATTCTAATTTTTTTGTAAATCAGTTTTCTATTCTTCTAGTTGTGGTCAGCAGTTGTGGGGTTGGGGTATTCAATTCCTGTCTCCACCCACAATTATACAAGGATTATTGTTAGCTCAGAATCTACTTGCTTGGTTTAGATAGCTTTATAGGGACCTTTTTTTAATTAAAATATGTAAAATTTTGAACTCTTTTATTAATTAGGCTTAGCATAAATGGCAATAAAGGTATCGTTCTTTTAGTGTTGTTTATTAATATTGACTTAATAAGTACTTAAAGATTCCATATTGTAGTTGATATATCTCAGCATTTATTTTGTCTACATGTATGCTCAAGTTCTTTTGGTTGATCAAGATTAAAATGTTGTTTTTGTCCAATTATGGAATCTTTGAAATTTCAAGCTCTATTTCATTTCTCAGAAAATTTTTGGTCTTCTGTGGATATTATTTGCACTTCAGCTGATCTAGATTTTCCAAACAGAATGGGAGGCAGAATTGCAACTGAAATGAAATTAAATCAGTACATTAGTTCAATCTGAACAATATCACATTGAGATGAATTCATAACGAAGAAAACAATTGAACATCAAGAATTTATAAGAGCATAACTCTGGGCATTTAATCATCCAACTTGTGATGTAAATTTATTCTTTATGGTATCACAGGTTTCACTTGGCTTTGGAGTCTTAGGGGGGATCAACATGATAAAATAACTGATGAATTATCTTGCTACTATGACACCAAGTCAAAGGAGGCAGCAGAATTCAGGTTTGGTGCACTCTCTGATGGTTTGTCCTATGCTGACTCTAGTGACTGGTTTTCTGGTCGGTGGTCATGCAAGGGTGGGGACTGGAAGAGGAATGAAGAAGCTACTCAGGATAGGTCTTCTAGGAAAAAACTTGTGCTTAATGATGGTTACCCGTTGTGCCATATGCCAAAGTCTGGGTATGAGGACCCTCGCTGGCATATGAAGGATGATCTGTACTATCCTTCTCATAGCAGAAGGCTTGACCTCCCTCCTTGGGCATTCTCCACTACTGAAGAGAGAAATGATTGCAGTGATATTAGTAGATCTAATCAAATCAAGCCTTCTGTTGTGAGAGGAGTGAAGGGAACCGTGCTTCCAGTAGTCAGGATAAATGCATGTGTGGTTCAGGACCAGGGCTCATTTGTATCTGCACCCCGCACGAAAGTTCGAGGAAAGGAGAGGCACTCTTCAAGATCTGCTTGGCCACACTCTACAACAAGTGATATCAAGAAATCATCTGCAGAAAGTGATTCACTATCAAAGGCTGTTAATGATCAAGGCTTGAAAGGATCATGGAAGTTCATTGCACCCATTAATACTCCTAAAGACCATGTTTGCACTGCTGATGAGTTGCAGTTGCACTTGGGTGAGTGGTACTACCTTGATGGTGCTGGGCATGAAAGGGGACCTTTATCTTTTTCAGAACTTCAGGTCTTAGTGGATCAAGGAGCTATCCAGAAACATAGCAGTGTTTTCCGTAAATGTGATCAAGTTTGGGTTCCGGTCACCACTGCTGCTGGGACTTTTGAAGGCACTGCAAGGAATCGGCCTGAGAATGTTGCACCATATGCTGATTCTTCAGGAACTCTACTTTTAGACTCTCAAGGTATTTCTATTGGTGATAATATTACCAGTTCTGGTTGTTTTCACAGCCTACATCCCCAATTCATTGGTTATACCCGTGGGAAGCTTCATGAATTGGTAATGAAATCGTATAAGAGCCGAGAATTTGCTGCAGCCATAAATGAGGTTTTAGATCCATGGATCAGTGCAAAACAGGCAAAGAAAGAGATGGACAAGCATATTTACCAAAAAGCAGGTATGGTCAAGCAAGCTTAATTGCTACCTAGGAGTCTAGGTTTGGATTGGCAAATTTTTAAAATTTAGAATGAGATGCTAGAGATTTTTCCAACTTTCTTGGGTAGCCTTAAGGCATGTTGCCAAATCTCATAACTTTTTTTTAATATATAAAAGAATTAATTGTCTAGTAGTTGATAAGATAATTGTCTTCAAGATTCTTTTTAGTGGATCCTCTCATACAACCAAAAGAACTCTACTTGGAATGCCTACTTTTTTTACTTCATTTCCTTTTTCCTCGTTGTTGACCTTTTGACATATTTATTTTGGTTTTCTTCACGTACATCCATTTGTCAAGGTGCGTGTATGCATGTAGATATTTAGGTGATCACCTACTTAGCTTGGTAAGGGTCCTTAGTTCCTTCTTGGACTTGGTGAAAATGAGTGTGTGGTATGCAAATTTTCACCATTTTTCTTTAATCTGGTAAATTTATGAGGCATTTATTTCTTAATTGTTTCTTTCTTTTTACAAATGTGGATGAATGTTGGCTTGTAAATTGCAGACAGTGGCAAACGAGCTCGGATGACGATTAATGGAAGTGAAGAAGAGTATGAAATTGAAGATGAGTTGCAATCAATCCGAAAGGATGAGCCTGCATTTGAAGATTTATGTGGTGATGCTACCTTCCTTGAACAAGAGAGTGCATCTTCTGTTACTGAGATGGGGAGCTGGGGTTTGTTAGACAGTCATGTGCTGCCACGAGTATGCCATTTCTTGAGATCTGACATGAAATCCCTTGCCGTTGCTTCTTTGACTTGTAAACTCTGGAGAGCTGCTGTCAGGTTTTACAAGGGGATTGCAAGGCAGGTTGACTTGTCATCTCTTGGTCCTAACTGCACTGACTCTGTAGTGTGGAATATCATGGTATGTTTAATGGTTGTCTAAAATACTTAAATTTGATTTTTTTTTCCTTTACCACTCAGATTTAATATAATTCTTTCCTTGCAGAATGATTATAACAAAGAAAAGATAAACTCCATGATTCTAATTGGTTGCACAAACATAACTTCCTGCACGCTTGAAGATGTTCTTCGTCTTTTTCCTAGTTTATCTTTGATAGACATTAGAGGTTGCAATCAGTTTGGAGAGTTGACTATCAAATTTCCAAATTTGAGGTGGTTCAAGAGCCGAAGTTTGCAATCTATGACGATTTCGGATGAGTCAAATTCTAAAATAAGGGGTCTGAAACAGATGACTGAGAAAACTTCATCTGGCCTTAAAATGGGCCTGGGAAGGGATATCGATGATTTTGGTGAATTGAAGAGTTATTTTGAAAGTGTAGATAAAAGAGACTCAGCAAACCAATTATTTCGTCAAAGTTTATATAGACGTTCAAAGTTATTTGATGCCAGAAAGTCCTCATCCATTTTATCTAAGGAAGCTCGTATAAGGCGATGGGCCATCAAGAAATCTGAAAATGGATATAAGCGGATGGAGGAATTCCTTGCTTCAAGTCTAAGAGACATCATGAAGGAGAATACCTTTGACTTTTTTGTGCCCAAGGTACTGTTAATCTTGTGCTTTCTGTCTAGCAATATATATTTTTCTACATTTTGTTTTAAAGTCTTTATTCTTTTTTTGTCATTTGGATATTAGGTTGCAGAAATTGAGGAAAGAATGAAAAATGGTTATTACGTTGGCCATGGTGTGGGTTCTGTTAAAGAGGACATCAGCCGAATGTGCAGGGATGCAATAAAGTAAGGTTTTCTAGTTGCCTCTTTTTTCAACTTCGTCTGATACCTTGTATTGAAGAATATTTATAAGTTGCTATGGCCCTTTATTTTTTTAATGAATGAATGAAACAAAGTTGCAAAGGCTTTAAATCATCTGAGCTGTAGTAATTTTGTAACTGGTTTGGTGCCCCTTTTTTTTGCCATGAGAAATTGAAAGCTAAGTTTTATGTGTGTGTGCGCGCTTGTGTGTACAGGGCTGTTGCCTATAATAATGCATATTATTTATTCTCTGTGAAATTTGAAATGTTTTTTCCTCTTTATATGCCTAATGCCTAAAGCTGTTCTCTCCCCTCCTTTTTTTAATATTTAATTTATTGAACATAAATGTTTATTTTGCACCTATTCCCCTTTCCTATTCTTTATTTTTATGTCCATACATTCAGCATCAGTTATCCGATAATAAGCTTCCTCTTCTCTTGTTGATATACTAACTCTTTGGATGCAGAGCAAAGAATCGTGGTGGTGGTCGAGACATGAATCGCATAATTACTTTATTTATCCAGCTTGCCACACGATTAGAAGAGGGTGCCAAGATTACTTCTTCTTATGAAAGAGATGAATTACTGAAGTCTTGGAAAGATGACGCACCTGCCGGGTTATCAAAATACAAGAAGAAACTTGGTAAGGCTGTCACTGAAAGGAAGTACATGAACAAGAGCAATGGCACTTCTTTTGCAAATGGTGGGTTTGATTATGGGGAATATGCATCTGATAGAGAAATTAGAAAACGTTTATCTAAACTTAATCGGAAATCTCTAGACTCAGAAAGTGAAACATCTGAAGAACTTGATCGCTCTTCTGAGGATGGCAAAAGTGAGAGTGAGATTGAGAGTACAGCCTCAGATACAGAGAGTGACTTGGATTTCAAGCCTGAAGGTCGGTCTGGGGAGTCAAGAGGGGATGGATACATTATGGCAGGTGATAGTTTTGATTCTATGGCTGATGATCGTGAATGGGGTGCTCGCATGACAAAAGCTAGTTTGGTTCCTCCTGTCACTAGGAAATATGAAGTGATTGACCAATATGCTATTGTAGCTGATGAGGAGGATGTGCGACGTAAGATGCAGGTATCCTTGCCAGAGGACTATGCTGAGAAGCTTAATGCTCAGAAAACTGGCACTGAGGAGTTGGATATGGAACTTCCTGAAGTCAAAGATTATAAACCCAGAAAACAGCTTGGAGAAGAAGTTATAGAGCAAGAAGTATATGGAATTGATCCTTATACTCATAACCTTTTACTTGATTCCATGCCAGAAGAGTCGGAGTGGCCTCTAGAGGATAAGCAATCTTTTATCGAAGATGTTCTTCTTCGAACTCTGAATAAGCAAGTTAGACACTTCACAGGCACTGGGAACACTCCAATGATGTATCCATTACAGCCTGTTGTAGAAGAAATTAAAAGAGTTGCTGATGTGGATTTTGATGTACGAACAACGAGAATGTGCCAAGCTATCCTGAAAGCCATAGATGCTCGTCCTGATGACAACTATGTTGCTTACCGAAAGGTATACATGTGCTTCATATCTCATGCATTATTTTCCATTGTTATTTTTCCTCATTATTATTTCATAACATTATATTGTTTTCTCTTGTTCCTTAGTTTTATGATGCTGATGTTTACAATTTTTTTCTCCACTGGAATATGCTTTACTAGGGTCTGGGTGTTGTTTGCAACAAGGAAGGTGGTTTTGGAGAAGAAGATTTTGTTGTAGAGTTTTTGGGAGAGGTATGGATGTGAATTAGTTTATAAGCAGTTTCATTTATCTACATCTATTGCAAATAATATTTTCTTCCCATTTTTCTTACAAAAGTTTTTTACTTCAAACTAGATAAAATAATTTACAGTTTTCTTCATTACTGTTTAATTATTCTCTGGCTTCTGGCTTTTGAATAAAGTCTCTTTGAAGTCCTTTGTGTTAACAGTTCTAATTTTCAGGTTTATCCTGTTTGGAAATGGTTTGAGAAGCAAGACGCGATTCGATTGTTGCAGAAAAACAGCAAGGATCCAGCTCCTGAGTTTTACAACATCAACCTTGAGAGGCCAAAGGTGTCTACTTCAACACATCTTGTGTTATGCGTTTGTTGTGGTTAATTACTTGATTTTACTATTTTTGCTGAAAATGTTTGCCTGATCATCTCTTGTTTATCAGGGTGATGCGGATGGGTATGATTTAGTTGTTGTTGATGCCATGCACAAGGCAAATTATGCGAGTCGAATTTGTCATTCATGTCATCCTAATTGTGAAGCCAAGTAAGTATATTCTCTTGCTCTTTTTGGTCTGTGTGTGATTGTAAAGTTCCCTGTTTCCGACCTAGTTTGGGAATTTGGAATCTTGTATGGAGCAGAATAATTTGGATTTTCTAATACAGAATGACATGTACTCCAGTGCCAATTTTTGTTGATTTATATTCATAATTATTTACTGGATGTTTGGCACATAGTCATACAATTGTCGGACAAGTTTAACCTTTTGCCACTAAAACTCAAGTATTTGTACTTGGTTAGAGGTTTTGTATTTCAGATATACTTCAATCAACTTGTGCAGGGATTTTGGTTGCCTAAATGCTGAAAAAAGTTATTGTTCTACATCAAAAACTAGCATGGTTGTTTAACATATTTGGATTTTGTTTATTTATGTTGATAGTATGACCGTTACCCTGTTGTTCCAGATAACTTGTCCTTTTTGTTTTGGGACATATTGTAGTTTAAATCAGTCTGTCCAGTATCTGATTATTTAAAAGTTTAGTGCTTTGGTTGATCTTTTTGGATATGTAAGGTTTTTGTTGATTAGCACGAGACCTGTTCCTACCTCTGCCTGTAACTTCTCCTATTCTTAAACAACTTGGCCTAGCCACAAATCAAGTACCTTTCATAGTACCAAGATTGTTTTCACTAATTCAGCAATTATTTACCATTTCTTGAATGCAGAGTTACTGCAGTAGGTGGTCAGTACCAAATTGGAATCTATGCTCTACGTGCAATACGATATGGCGAGGAGATTACATTTGATTATAATTCTGTTACAGAGGTTTGAATCTTCTGTCCTATCAGCCTTGTCACTGAAGAAAATTCCTATTTTTTTTATAGCTAATGATTGATGCTTATATTATTAGAGCAAGGAAGAATATGAAGCATCTGTCTGTCTCTGTGGTAGTCAAGTTTGCCGTGGTAGCTATTTGAATCTGACTGGTGATGGTGCATATCAGAAGGTACTTTCTTTATTGAAGAAAAAAAAGCGAAAATGATACTTTCTTTATTGCCTGTTTGAGTCAGTTGACCCTTTCTCTTTTTGGGTTTCTAAAAGTTATCATAAGAAGTGCTTGTTTATCAGGTATTGAAGGAGTGGCATGGAATATTGGATCGACAACAGCTAATGCTAGAAGCTTGTGAATTGAATTCTGTATCTGAAGAAGATTACCTTGAGTTAGGGAGAGCTGGTCTTGGAAGTTGTTTGCTTGGCGGGTTGCCTGATTGGTTGGTTGCATACTCTGCTCAACTGGTATGTCTATACTTTACCCTCAAGCCATTTCATTAATTTTTTTTTTTAAAGAGAAAAAAATAAAGGTGGGAGGGGGGGGGGGGGAGAGGTTCTATTCTCCTGACAATTCTTCTGGTGTAGGTGAGATTCATAAATTTTGAGAGAACAAAGCTCCCTGAGGAAATTTTAAGGCATAATTTGAAAGAGAAACGAAAATACTGTTTAGATATATGTCTGGATGCAGAGAGGAATGATGCTGAGATTCAGGTTTGTAGCTGTTCTAATTTTGTCTGTGCATGTCTTTTGCATCGGTCTCTGTGTGGTCATGTCTGCTTATGTTTGTTTAAGGCTATTTATGCTTGCAGTTAAAGGTAAAATGCTCATCGTATGCTTTTCTTTTGAATGAGATAGGCTGAGGGTGTCTATAACCAGAGGCTTCAGAATTTGGCAATTACTCTTGACAAGGTGATTACCCTCTCTGTCTCTGAATAACAAAATTTGAAGTTTAAATATTCTCCAACAGAACAAAATATGGTCATGTGTAATATGATATGGCCCATAGTGGGATCTTTTCTATGGAGATCCTGCAAACTAGAAGGTTGAAAAACTGTTTGTTTTGACCTGGCGTTTATGATTTTGAAGAGCTAAGCTTCCAAAATTTGAAGCTTAAACTTTTTGGAATAACTAGATTCCTCTCTTTTTCGTTTGGTCTAATGGTTGGAAGGCAGTCATCTTTATTGCATGAAATCTTGACATTGCAGTTAATGATGTCAAATTCTGTAGGGGCTAGATCTTATGCATTATGTCAGAAAATTTTCTACATGCTAGTTCTATATTAATACAAGTGTTCCTACATTATCATCTTTGATGCTGCTTTCAGGTAAGGTATGTTATGAGATGTGTGTTTGGTGACCCCAAAAAGGCTCCACCGCCAATAGAGAGGCTCAGTCCTGAAGAAGCTGTTTCCTTTCTCTGGAAAGGAGAGGGATCACTTGTTGAGGAGCTTCTTCAGTGCATGGCTCCTCATGTCGAAGACAACATGCTCAATGACATGAGGTCCAAGATTCAGGCCCATGACCCATCGGGTTCTGACAACATTCTTAAAGAACTTCAGAAATCTTTGTTATGGTGAGTGGAATGTCCTGTTTAAATTTGTTACTATGTTTTTTCATTCTATTACGAATGTGTTCTTTAATCATTGCTTTCATGCATGGCTTCTCAAGGTTGAGGGATGAGGTTCGGAACCTTCCATGTACATACAAGTGTCGGCATGATGCCGCAGCTGACTTGATCCATATTTATGCTTACACAAAGTGCTTCTTAAGAGTTCGAGTGAGTCCTACTAGTTTCTTTCTGATGGGCTATGTTTTTTTTGTTTTTCTGTTTTTTGGGTTGGGGCATGTTAGCGCTGTTTATGGCATAGACAATTTTTGTCAATGCTGTTGTATTGTTTATCATTTTATCTAAATTAACCATTTGTATGTGCAGGAATACAAAGCAGTAACTTCTACCCCAGTCTACATCAGTCCTCTTGACCTGGGCCCTAAGTATGCTGACAAGGTGTCAAGTCTTCAGGAGTATTGCAAGACATATGGTGAAAATTATTGTTTAGGACAGCTGATTTTTTGGCATAATCAGACAAGTGTTGAGCCTGATCGCAGCCTGGTTAGAGCAAGTAGGGGTTGCTTGTCATTGCCTGACATTGGTTGCTTTTATGCAAAGGTTCAGAAGCCATCAAGGCATCGTGTTTATGGCCCAAAGACTGTGAAATTTATGCTGTCATGGATGGTAAGCTTCTTTTATCCAATTTGAAATGATGCCAATGCCGTTTTTAGTTCTTAGAATTTATGAGGATATCCGTAATGTTATCTACTTGTTGGGAACTTCTGGCATCCATTTTAGTTGCCTTTTAAAAACCAAACCCAGACCATATAGGTCATGAATAGCTTTATTGGAAGTTTTTTGTCTGGTTTTGTCGGTTTCTTCTTGGTGGGTAAAAAAATGCTAATATTCATAAGTTTCTTCATTTAATTTGGAACATTTTAAGGAAAATAGGAATATACTTTTACCAAATTTTTTACTGAAATTGGCAACATCTTGTATGTCACAGTTACCAACAAATTGGTGGTGTGTTCTTGATCTTGTTACGACATCTACAATGGACCCCATAGGATCTTTCTGGATTTGCTTTCGAGACTTATGTTTGTTGTCAACTCATGAATATTAAGCATTCCCTAGATCACCCAGAATGGTTTTTATGCTTGTATACGTCACAGAATTTGTTGGTATTCGTGACATGTACCTGCAGGGGATGGAGCTAATCTATTTAATGCTGTCTCCAAATGACATTCCTCGATTTCTAACCTGATGTTATTGTGGATTAGGTTGTCATTTGTTTTGCCAGAGTTGACTATAGTAAATTATCATTTATATCCACAGTTCACGTGTATATAGAAACCAATAGTATTGAGTGGAAAGAATATTGCAAAATATATAGAAACTTGCACTGGTTAGTGGTATATATGCATTCAATTACCTGAGCATGGTTTATTTTTCTTGCCGGATACTGTGGTTGCTTACCTGTTGTGGATATGGGTGTTGTTTGTGCAGGAGAAGCAACCCCAGAGACCGTGGCCCAAGGACCGAATATGGTCATTCAAAACTTCTCCAAAAGTTTTTGGCAGTCCAATGCTAGATGCTGTTTTAAATAATTCTTCACTGGAGAGAGATATGGTGCACTGGTTGAAGCACAGACCAGCAATATTCCAGGCAATGTGGGATCGATGAGTCTTTTATAGGGGTTTGGGTTAGTGGCAGTAGGATTATTAGCCAATACTCGGTAAATGTTTTGGAATGATTTCTCAATTTTAGTTCGCAGCTGCCCTCTAGTGTGTGGTAGTTGGTAATCATTCCAAAACATCATTTCTTGTGCCGCCGCTGTCTTCTCATTCTTGTGTACAGTTTTCATCTTTGTATTTGTAATTCATTTTCTTGTAGTAGGGCATTTTTTTTCTCCTTTCTCCCCCTTTTTGCTTTAATTTTAAGTAAACGATGAAAAAGAAAATCTCGAGGCAATGTTTTTTTCTTTTATTCTTTTCCTAGTCTTGCCTCTATCTTATAACCGAATATGCTCGAGAAATCATTGGTAATGCATGTTTGTAGGTGAGCATTGTTAGATAATAATAATAATAATAATAATAATAATAATTATGCGTATGGTATATTTTTTAAATTAGAATCATTAAGAGTTTTAACAGTTCAGATTAGAATCAATTTGATTTTTTTAATAATTCATAAAATTTTAAATTTTAAATTTTTTATTCAAATTTAATTCGAATTTTTATTCTATATGATTCAAAATTAATTTCATTGAATCAGTTTAGTTTGATTCATTGATTTATTAAATTTAATTTTTATATATATTATTTTAATATAATTTTTAATATATTTAAATAAATTAAGATATAGAATAATTATTTTTATTTTATAAAAATTAAAAATATATTTTAAAGTTAACAAAAATTATAATTCAATTTAATTTAATTTTTTATTTTTTTTATTCAAAATTATATTTGAACTTAATATATATTTGGGTTTTTTTTGTTTAGCGAAAAATTATTTTTAAAAATTATTTTTGCATTTTTAGGTGTTTTTTTAGTAGAAAATTGATTGTTCAAGAGAAAATGATTTATTGGTTAATAAAAAATAAGATTCTTTTTTTTGAAAATTATCTTATACTTTTGAAAAGGGAAAGACAATTTCTAAAATGGTGCTATGTGTGAATAGAATTACTTATCAATATGTTTGAATATAATTTTATTTAAATTAAACATTGAATATATATTTTTTAACCTCAAACTTAATTTGATCCAATCTAAAATATTATCATATTAATAAATAATATTTTTATTTTATTTAATTTAAAAAATTAAAATATTAATATTAAATTTTTTTAAGCCCAAACTTAATATGATCCAATCTAAAATATTGTTATATTAATAAATAATATTTTTATTTAATTTTATTTAAAAAATTAAAATATTAATATTAAAAGTCTTTTAATATTTTAATTTTAAATATGTTTATAATTTTACTTAAAAAAGACTTTAAACATAATATTTTAAGTCCAAACTTGATTTAATTCGACTTAAAATATTATTATATTCTTAAAAATATTTTATTTAATTTTAATTAAAATATTAAAATATTAATATTAAAAGTCTTTTAATATTTTAATTTTAAAATATTTTTATAATTTTACTTAAATAAGACATTGAATATAATATTTTAAGTTTAAACTTGATTTAATTTGACTTAAAATATTATTATATTCTTAAAAATATTTTATTTAATTTTAATTAAAATATTAATGTTAAAAGTTTTTTAATATTTCAATTTAAATATTTTTATTTTGTATATTATTAAACATAAATATTTTTAGGATTTCAATAATAAATAGTATTATATTATTATTTTAATAATAAATAATATATAATAATAATTTTATTATTTTAATGATTAATGTTAAATAATTTAATAATAATATTTTCTTAATATGAATATTTTAAATAATTTCTTATTAATTTTTAGTTTAAAATATATAATTTTATATTTTTATTTATTAAGGTATTTATATTAATATTTTAATAAAAAATATGAATAAAAAAGATTTTTGTTATGATTTAACAATAGATACTTTCAATATAAAATATAAATATTTTAATAGTATAAATATTTTAATAATAAATATTACCATTTTAATATTAATAAAAAATCATATTTTAAATATTTTAAAATATGAATATAAAAAATAATAAATAGTTTTATTTTAAGTATTTTTATATTATATAATATTTTAATATTAAATATTATTATTAACATATAATTATTCTTGAATATTAATAATTTTAATAATAAATAATTTCATTATACTTTAATAATAAATAATTTTTAATATTTTAATGGTTATATTAATATTATTTGAAACAAGAAACAAATTTTCCAAAAAATAACTAAATAACAAATAATATTTTTTATTAATTCACCCAAACAGTAGAAATTTTTTATTTTTTTCAAAAAATGTAAATATTTTTTAAAAATTATAAATACTTTCTAAAATATATTTTTTGAAAGTCAATTTCAATTAAACGAACAAAACTTTAATATTTAAATTTAATATGAATAGTTCAAAGTACTACGATTTTAAATTAATTTTTAATTTTTTTCAATTTTTTTTCTTACCCTTAAAAATCATCACTTAGAATTGGGTCATGATCAATGCCAATGACCAATGAGATGGCCTTCCGGTTAGACAGAACAATGCCCAAAAGAGGTGTAAATTATGTTTATCATCTTCGCACAGCCTTCAGAATAAGGTTCTCAAGGAGAGGATACTTATAGCTTGCCATAGCTTAATGCTGTATCAAAACTCAAAAGAACAAAAAAAGTAAGGGCCTACTTGAAGACGGGAAGAGGATATAACAGTGATGATCAATCTTCTGTCACTTTGTTATGAACTTGGTAATGTTAAATTGAAGTTGCAAGTGGTCAATATCATTCATTCATCTGCCTCTCGAGCCAGCTAACACCAACTGTATTTGTTAAAGTAGCCCCAACATCCGTGAAATTTAGTACTGAAACCAGCAGCAGGATTACAACTTCCTTTTGGGCCATACAAAGTTCCCATCCAAATTCCCCGGCTTACACCCCTCTATCATTCTTGCAATTTTAAGCCTAAATTTTTACAGCAGTGAATTATCAACCACATTCACAAACGCAGGAGACAAACAGTCGACAATGAAAGCAGAAGGTACCTGACGCCCGCGTGAGTGTCAGTTACATTGAATATTATTATATTACCATTTATAAAAGGCAGCACAATCATCCTTGAATCCGGTGTCGCCGCCCTCGCTCATTCCCATCCAATAACCAACCCCCACGGTCCCCTCTTCTCATAACGTCCCTATCCGCGTCAGCCTCCCTGAAAAAGATGTAAACAGACTTGTATTCTACTATTCTTTTAATCTCCATTGCTTTACCCTCCGGCCTCCGGCTCTGCAACAGTTTTTCACAGGCAGGCAAAAACCATCATGAAAATGAAGAGAGATGATTTTTGTTCGAGTTTCGGCTCTATTACTACTCATCCTCATGCTTATCCTTACTTCACCACCGAGTTTAATCCCCAAACTCTCCTCCTTCTACCCTCTGATCCTCGTTGCTTCAACTTGTTCTTCACGCAAGACTTCCCTTCTGATCTTCCCCTCCAACCTCAAGTCCCTCCTCTCGACTTCTCCCTTTACTCCTCCTCCATCCTTCCTCACTCCACTTTCTTCCTTAACTTCTTTTCCAAACCCTTCCACTCCCTCCAACAGCCCCACCACCAACCCCCACTACTCCGTCACTCTTCCCCCTCCTCATCATCTCGGCTTCTCAAATGTACTCGTCTCCACTTAAACATTTCCCAATCTGACAACAACCCCCAAACCCTCGACTCCATTGTCCAAAGCTTCAACTCTCCTCCACCCATCATCCCACACAGCGGCCTAGCTCGAAAGCGGAGGCAAAAGCTAAGCGAGAAGACCCGTTGTCTTCAAAAGCTCATGCCATGGGACAAGAAGATGGACACTGGCACCATGCTCCAAGAGGCTTATAAATATATCCGGTTCTTACAAGCTCAAATCTCCATTCTCCAATCAATGCCAATCACTTCGAGCTTTGTGTCTGGTGAACATATTAATGCCCCTTTTGCATTTGATTATAACGGGTTGGAAAGGTTGAATAGGCAGCAGCTTTTGCAGGTGTTAGTTAACTCTCCAGGGGCGCAAACCAGGCTTTATTCAAATGATTTTTGCGTTTTTTCCTATGAGCAGTTAGTTTCGCTTAAGAAGGCTAAGGAGGAGAGGAAAACGGTGCTTCAACACTTTCTCTTTGGTAATTAACTCATAAAAAATGGGGGCATCATATGTTTTTACTACAATGTTTTACGGATTTTGTTGTTTTGTTGCTAGATTTTCAATCTTTAGAGTTAGATGTGCCTGGATTTTAGTTTTTACAGTACAGGGCTTAAACCAATACAATGCAATGAAATGAATATTTGTTTCGAAAAGAATAGGGGATTTTACATGATACATCATTTGAGTTCTGGTGATGGTTTATAGGAATTTTATTTGTTTTTCAATTTTAACTTTTTTCTATCTGTCTAATTTGAAGTGAATGAGGAGATTTGACACTGGACTAAGATTCATATGGCCCTGATTTTTCACTTGATTTTATTCCCGAATAAGTATTTGTTCAAAAGGCAAAATTTTGTACCAATGACCGACATGAACTTCAAGGGTTTGTAGATCCTGATTTGATTCGATATGATTGAAGAGAAAGTGACAACCTGGGCTATGACTGAATTGGTTTGTGCGTGCGAAAGTTGATCAACATTGGGGTTCTTCATCTTTTCAAGAGTACGAGACTGAATCTTGACGATCGGTCATCTCATATTCTCTTTAGAAATTATCTTCATTCCTCATCGTTGTTCAAGACTTTTTCTTGCTAGCCTATCAGCCACATATACTTTTGTCTGGATATATGCTTCTGTTGTCGAGTCCAACTCACCATTGGAGCAAAGGGATGATGTTGGATGATTTGTGCTTTATCAGTGTGATTGTGGTTTAGGAGCAATTTCAAGCTGGTTGATTGGCTCTCACCATTGGAGCTAAGGGATGATGTTGGATGATCTTTTGCTTTTATCAGTGCGATGAAGCTTAAAAAGCCAGATTCAATTTCATGCTGATTGGTTCCCAAATTTTTGCAATTTTAACTCCATGACAAATAGCCCGTATTTCTTCAACAATCGCCAAGAGCGCAAAGAAACCCTGTTGTCAAATTTCCTTTTTCTCGCTCCATTAGCGAACCTAGTAGCTCAACGGCCATCGAAGTTAAGCTCCAACAATTCCATTTATGGTTTTCCTCCAATTCGGTAGAATCTTCCTTTTTTATTTCCACAATATTTGTTAAGATTTGAATCTTTCCATTCACTCTTTACTTCTTCCACTGTTTTTCATTTGACATTGTATGGAGTCTCTTTTTTGGAGACGTAAAAAAGTCAGGTCAATATCTATTTTAAAAGCCATTAGCATCTGGGTGTTGTGATTTTGCACTTTCTTGCCTTGTTACGGGGGTAAACTCTAGCCGAATAGCATTAAGCATCATGAAAACCTTAACCTTTTATAAGTACTTAAGGTCTACAGAAGCCCTGCAGATTCTATCAGATCATAAATGAAGGGCCAAGTGATGAAAGACCAACAATCTTTCACATGAATATATATATCCTTAACTAATTACCTATTATATATTTATTAGTGTTGTCATGAATTCATTCACGATCAATTGTAATTGGACAAAGAAGCTATTAGAAAATTTTAAGAAAACAGAAATAATAATAATAAAAAAAGCATAAATAACACTATCTTAAAAGTAATAAATCTTAAAAAACTCTCCAAATAAAAAATATTAAAATTGATCAAGAAAAAAGATCTATTTATATTGAATGAATAATTATAAGACAAGCTAATTTAAAAAGTCATGACGTTTTGTGTAATCATATTTTTTTTATTTAAATAAAGTTTATTTAAATAATCATATTTTTTTATTCAGATATATTTATTCGGATTATCATATTTTTCTCTATTCAAACAAGTTTATTCAAAATAAAAATAATATTTTAGTAATATTCCAAAATAAAAAATAAATAAATAAAAATTTAAAAATTAAATCTATTTACTAAACAAGTCCAAGTACTCTAATCTTGTGTGACCCATTAAGAAAACTTCTAGTAAACTCAAATAACTTAACCCACTCAAACATTTAGATCAATTATTTAAATAAAATAAGTAATCTCTTTTAAATTATATATAAATGATTTTTTTATTAAATGTGAAATATATTACATTCTAAATTACCAACACAAGTAACTTAAAAAATAAAAAAAGATTTGCATGAGAAACAAAACAGAGATAAGGAACAAAGGTATTAAGATCTTACCTTATTTTGAAAAATAAGAATAAAAGTATTTGAGAACAAAAAAAAAAATTTTTTTTTAAAATCCTATTCACTCAATTTCATTTCTTCCAAACCTTGGTGGATCTTTTTATTATCCAATTGCTAAAAGCCTAATTTTATGATTTTACTAGTTGAGAGAAAAAAAAAAAAGCTTTTAAGGTCCCAAGTGTTAGAGTTTAGACTTAAAAATAATAATAACAAATCTTTCTAACCTTCTGTTATATTAAGTTGACTGTATAATTTCAAGTGTAGAGTTGTATTAAAAAATCCATATATATTATGTTTTGTTTATTGGTACAATGGAAGATTTCGAAATGTCAAATACTTGTTATTTATTTATTTTATTATTTTATATCTTATATAAATATATAAAAATTAAAATTTTTGAGAAAAAAATTCAATGTGAATGATTTTTTTTTTTTACATATGTATAGTTTTAAATAAATGACACGTGTCTTACTTTTAATTATTTTGACTTAATTTTATTTAAATTTTAAAATATTATATATAATAGATCATCTTTAAGTATTTCCTTTTACATTTTCAATTGAATTTTTTTTAATTATATATATGATATACTATTACAAATAAGAGTTTTATAATCTCTAAAAATTATATTTTAAGGTAATTTCTTATATTTATGATCATATGTGTGTAAATTAATATAAAATATTTTAATTTCGTATAAAAAGATGAAATATATTAGAGAAGATTTTGGTTTACTTACATTTAACCGTTTGAAACTACCTTTTACATTGGAGCCATTTAAATTCAAAATTTAAAAGTGAATAGTTCAAATAAGAAACAATAGCCAACAATAATTCCAATAGTTATGGACAGACAAATATTTTAATTAATTGTCAATAAAAAATATTAAAATTTGCATACTGTAAATCTTTGTTTTTTTTTAAAAGATAAACACATTAAATATTCATATTTAAAACATTTTTATTATTTATTTTATTTATTATTATAAATAAAAAACTCAACCCTCATTTACTTTTAGTTAGGGATGGCAACGGGTTGGGTTGGGATAGATTTTTGCTCGTCTCGAACTTGACCCGATTTTACATCAGTCAAATTCGAATCCGAATTCAATCCGACCTGAATGTTTTTATTTTATTTAATACTCGAACCCGATCTAATATTATATAAACCGTACCTGACCCGACTCGAAATTAATAAAATATTATTTTTTTAAATATAAAATATTATTTTTAAAATATAAATATTTAAATATATAATTATATAAATATATAAATAAAAAATTAATTTAAAAATTATTTTTTTATATAATATTGGGTCGGGTCGGGTTTGTCTAAAATCCAAACTTAACCTGACCTCGACCTTTTCTTAACGTTACTCGATCCGAAATCTGATTTTCAAAAAAAAAAAAAAATTGACCCTATAGAATCAGGTCGAAACTCACCAAGGACGGATTGGGTTGCCTACCCTACTAAAAGTATAGGATGTAGCTTTTCTAGTATTTAGAATATTATATTTTTTATTCACAATTTTTTTTTATTTTGTACATATTATAATTCCCACAAAATGAAAAAAATTAACATATAATGCTTTATACCGTTACCTTTTTACATGATTCAGATTTATTATTTATGATTTTTTTTTAATTTATCTTTTTATATCTCTTCAATATATTTCTTTATTAATTATATTAGACAATGCACTTACATATATTTTTATGAACAAATCTAACAAGAACCATCCCTATTTCTATCTTATCGAAACCATAAAAAAGATTGAAGATGGAAGTTGTGATATGTTTCCAAGCTGCAAAACTTTATAGCAGATTAAATGGCTAAATGGTGTTTAAGTAAATTGAGCATGAAGTCATTAATTTATTAATTGTTGATGCTATGAGAATTACCTTTCTTTTTTTGAGAGAAAGGAGCTTTCATTGATCACAAATGAGTACAATATGTAATATAGTATGATGGAGGATGGAGGGATATTCCTCTACCCAATCTTGATTCGTCCTCATCTCAAGTGCATGTCTAGTCGGCTTATGCGCAACCTCATTAGCTTAGTGTCTTTGCACTATTTAATTAATTTATTTAAAATTTAATATTAGTTATAGTTATTTTTTTAATTAGTATTTGATTTCAAATGAATATTTTTAATGTGAGTATTCTATGCATTTTTTAAAGTTCAATGCACATATATTTGATTTCAAATAAATATTTAGAATTCTATGCATGGCACGGATATTGTTTATAATGTGGCTTGCTTAATGTTTTAATAAATTTAATGCCGACATAAAATATAATATATTATTATATGATGATCATTTATTTATGTGCATATACTTATAAAACATAAAATTAATCGCATATGATACGAATCACAAACTTATAGATTTTTATAATTAATTTTAAAATTTTATATAATATATTACAATATCATATTTATACTCAATTCTCAAAAATAAAATTTTAATTCAAGATACTTATATCAACTTATTGATTATGGTTTAAATTATACTTAGTATCATCCTAAAAAACAATCTTTTAGGAATTCATTAAAATCGTGCTACTTCATAAATTTTTAAAAACATTTAATTACTATTATATGCATGTGCACCCCAAATCAACCATCTTTTATTCACTTTAATTTTGGTCGATTTATTATTTCATGAAATGGGTTCGAAAACCCAACTTTCGATCTTGTTCTTTGGACCTCCTTTATCATTCGCTGGTTGTTGCTGGGCTCATATTTTTCCTTTCATTCCACTCGTTCGATCAAAGGAGCCCCAATTTCGGCTTTTAATATAGATTGGCAACTGTACTTGAAAAATCTTGAAATTCAGCAAATAATATATTTCAGATTTGGGCATTTCAAATTTATTGCTAGAAATTATGATAGATTATATTTTAATACTTAAAATTCAATAACAAAGAAACAAAAAAAAAAATTTAACATAACCACACACCAAGAGGATTGAAGACCCAGCCCAGTGATCGCCATCACGATTCCTTTATTTCAAGTCATTTCAGAATTGTTAACATTGAACTTTGTTTTTATTAGTAATAACCTGTATTCCATTTGAACTTAATATAAAACATTGCCAATTGTGGAATAAAGCTATGTACTTAAGTAAGGAATTAAATTTGTGAATAAAAATTAAAATTATGATTATTTAGATGATTTAATAAAGAAGTTAGTTTTGAAGAAGTAATTGATTTACAAAAAAAAAAAATTTTCGTTAAAAATGATTGTTTGAAATTTTACAAGTACAAAAAATTATTCATTTTATGAAGTCTTAATATTAATGATGATTTTATGTATTTAGTGATGCTAAGTATGTACTTGATTTTAGAGAAATTTGAGAAAATTTATGAAATAATATGATGCATTTAGTTATTTTCATAACTATACTTTCAACAAGAATTCAAGTATTTTAAGTTTTTATTGTTTAAATTCTATAAGAGAATTTTATTTGTAAGTTGTGATGCATAAATTTTTACTTGGATTTAGAGTTGATAGTAATATATTTGGTAAAAAAAAATTTTGAGACATTATGATAATGTTGAGGATTATAGAGAATCAATTGTTATATGATAGTTAGTCTATTAAATTAAAAAAATATATTCGAAGTTAGAGACAACTTGGATAACTATAGATTTATATTTGAATTTACATAATAAAAATGTATGGATATGATTTATTGCATTGATTCCATATGTATTCTAATATGATTAACTGATAGAAAATTTCATATTGTCGATGAAGAAGAAAAAAAAATTAAAATAGTATGTGATATCTTTTTGGTGACTAAAGAATTTGTTGATATTGTTATTCAACTTCAAAGTTGTTATGGTTATGAACACACGGTGTGAAGCAAATTATTTGGAAATTTGGGGACATGTTTTTCTTGTTATAACATAATGCTATGAAAATTAATTTGTTATTTTAGAATTTTATTGGAAGGAAATATCAAAGTGCAAAGTGGAAGCTTCATTTGGTTTAAATTATAAATTCTTAAGCTATTGTTAGTTAAGAAAGTGATGAATCATTAATAAATAAGGAGTAATGGATTTTTTGTAAGAATATTTTGTGCTCCTTATATTTTTGGGAGGCTTTATCATTGATTGACATTTTTTAAAGGGTGTTTATATTATGACTTGAATAGAAAATTTTTATAAAAATAATAATAAGACAAACATTCAATGATTCATTTTAAAGTTTTGCATGAAAGTAGATCTAAGTCTTAAAATTATTGGGATAAGAACAATGAAGAAAAACTTTTGTTTCTTGAATTTGTGGAATAAATGGCTGATAAATTTTAGTTCATTAAGTTTAAAGTAAGCAAAAGAATTATGCCAGAATTTGAAAATAAGATTTGTAATTTCAAATGGTTAATCATTTGTACTTAAATGTGTCATCATTAAAGGTGTTACAATGATTATAAGGTAAGAAATGTTAAGTTTACATTATGTAAAGACATTTAAAGTTATTGGTAAAGTGAAAGAAGTTCAATATAAGAATCTTGCCACCTTAGATATCTATTGTACATACTATGTTACAAATCTATGGTGAGAGAATATGTTTTTAATCCAAACTATCATGGTTGGATATAAATATTTAGAAATTAAGGATGATATAAGTTTTAACATATCGAAACTATCTTATTAGAATGGTTAATTGGAAAGAACAAGTTTTGAGGCAAAATTGTTACATTTGTAAAAAGTTTAATGAAACAATAATATGACAAAAGAAGTGATTTTAGAAATTGAGGAATAAGATGTGGATGTAAATAAAGTTTTGAGGATGGAACTTTTTATAAGGACTAGATAATGTAATACATTAGCCCAAATAATAATTGGGCTAGAGTGTTACTAAAATCTATTAGTTTAATTAAAAGGCAAGTACTAAAGAAAGGTGGTAAGGTGTTTTACTAGATAAAACCTACATATCGTGAAATAGAAAAAAAAATGAGAGTTTTTCTTATCTTTCTTAGGATTAGAAGATATGAAAAATCAAGTTAAAGATAAAAAACCGGAGACTACAATTGAATTAGTCTCCTAAAGGTGAGTATACGCTATTTTTTATTTAACAAAAACATTATGTACATTGTTATTATTTGGAATTAAAGCATATGAGGGAAAATAAAAAAAAATTATGAAATCTTTTATTAATCTTCATGATTTATTTGGGTAAATTATTAGGCTTTGTTTACTTTATGTTATCAAAATTTAATGATGATTATTGAGTGAATTTTAAAAGTTGATAAATTATGAAAATTGTTTTAAATATTATACAATAAATTATGAATTAAGTCATACATGTTTGAAAAGGTTGCTGAATTTACTTTCCAACAAAAAAGCGAAATTAAATTTTAAATTTCTTATAAATAAATATATAATTTTTATTAAAAAATATATATGTTATTTAACAGCAATATATGATGTAGATTGTAAAAATTATTACAATTAACTATAAAAAATTAAGAGATTTATCAAATTGAAAAGATTATTTAAGCATTAGAGACGTTATTAGCTAATGAAATTTTATAAAATTATGTTGTATTTTTATAAATTTATATTTTAATATATAAAAAATTATCATTAATTTATTAAAAAATTTATTACTAATTTATTAAAAAACTTTAAATAATTAATAAAAAATATTTTATATTACTTTAAAATATTATTTTAAAATAATATAATTATATTATATCTCGATCTCGAAAGTTGACATAAGCAATGCAAAAAAAAAGGAGAGAAACACTAATAATGAAAAGAAGAATAATTGAAGAAATCAGTATGTTTGTGCAACATCTGCTTAACAGTAGTGTTGTGTTTGTTGAATCAGGGTAAAGGCTTTCATAGGCGAGGCTCGCATTTACAGAACAAGCTATGAAAAATGGGAAACAGCTGCACCGATCTAGAGCTCCAACTCACCATCTTTTCAGGATTTATATATATATGTTACCTCTCTCATCCTCAAAGGTCAAAAACTACTTTTCCTGTGAGTTTACTGTAAAACGCGGCATTGGACTTTGGACCTATGGTTTGGCATCCACAAATGAACTCAAGTTCTTCATCACTACTTTCTTTTTTTTTTTAATTATATTTTTTTCATTTTTAGTAACGTACCGTCAGCAGTAGGACATGGCTGGCTCACTTTCAATTATTCTAACCTTCACAGGGTTGCCCTCCTAAACGTGCCGCACTGCCACGACCACGTTGATCAGCTTTAAATACTCAAAAGTCCCCAAGGTGTTTGATTTTTTTATTACACAATTAGTATCATAAAATTGGAAATTTTCTCCAATCCCGTACTCTTTGGAAGTGATTTTTTTTTTTTTTACAAAAGAAATGGTAATTTGAAAATAGAAAGTAATTTAAAGATAAAAAAATTATAAATGTTAGAATTTAAATTTTAAGTTTGTTGATTATTATTTAATTATGAATTTTAACGTGAGGATTAATTAATATTATATTAAATCTTAATTTTTTATTGAATGTTTCTTATTATATTATTAATATATAAATATATATATGCAAGTAATATATTAAAAAATATATAAATTTTCAAAAGTACAAATTTTATTGATTAATAAATGAATGTATAAAGAAATATAATACATTGAATAAATAACTTTATTTAAAATTGTGAATCTTACTTAAAATTGTAAGCAATATTTTTATATAAAAAAAGCATAAATAAATAAATTATTAAATAATTTATACTTTCATTTAAACAAAAATAAAATATATAATTAAAAGTTCTCAAAATATACATATAATTAAAAGAATAAAGTTTGAAAATTTGAGATTAGCAAGTAGGGTGTTTTCTATCTTTTAATAAAGTGGTTTCAAAATGACTTTTTGTTGAAATAATTTGCATGATATCAAGAGAAAAAAAATTAGGGTAAATTTAATAGTGAAAAATTATATGGAAAAGAGGAATTGTAATCAACTACAAAGTAAGTAATTAATTGATATAATAATAGGATAAATAATAATATAATTTTAATACATCATAAGTTATAATGAATAAAACTAAATTATGAGGTCATATAAAAAATAAATAAAATTAGCTTGATTTGGAGACTAAAGATTTGTAAGTAATAATTAATTGATACAATAAATAAATTATGATTTTAATACATCATAAGTTATAATGAATAAAATTAAATTATGAGATCAAATAAAAAATTTAATAAAATTAATAATTTTGATTTGAGTGACCATTTAATTTTATTATAATATATATATGCAAGGGGTATTTAAAAAATGCGGGTTAAGGCACCCTCAAGGTATAACCACCGTCCGGCTTGATATTATTACCTCTCAAACTAATACATTTTTGTTCAATTTGACAAAAACTAATACATATTTAAAAAAACAAAACTCTAATTCAATTTGTTTTAAAATACCGAAATAATAGTTCATGTACTTATCATTTACCATAATCCGGTAGTATATGTTTACTGGCAGGATGGACAATAAATTGGTGATTGTGCAATTATGTGAAAAAAAGTCAAAATTTCAAAGGGCACTTACCGGCCATTGATAGATGCCCAAGGCACGCTCCTCTATGAGCTGGTTTAATCATCCCCTGCTTTTCTTTTTCCACCATCAAAGAATCCAAGTGAGAAAGAAAACAGAAAAAGCAACACTAAAGTATAGCACTGTCTTAACAAAAGAAGCTTTGTTAGTTTCTTATACCAAGTAATCCCATTTTACATACTTGCTTTACTACTCCTTATATCTTTCCTCAACCTCTGTTCCCACCCTCTCCTCGTCAAAAAACTTGCCATTTGTTTCTCTTTCTCGGAACCCATCTTCAATTGCTCTATCATAATAAAGAAACAAAAATGATTAAACTCGGAGGTGTTCTCGTTTGTCTTCTGATTGTGGCCATGGATGTTGCAGCAGGGATTCTTGGCATCCAAGCAGAAGTTGCACAAAACAAGGTGCCTCGAAAATACTACTAAGTACCTTTAAATTACATGGCAAAAGAGTAGATACAATTATGTGAATTAATTCATGAGGTCTTTTATATTTTTTGTTGCTTTGTTTTGGCAGGTTAAGCACTTAAGGCTGTGGATATTTGAGTGCAGAGACCCAAGCCATGACGCTTTCAAGCTAGCTTTGGGTGCAGCAGCGCTGTTGACTCTGGCCCACGTTCTTGCTAACCTGCTTGGTGGGTGCATGTGCGTCTGTTCTCAAGAAGAGTTCCAGAGAGCCTCCCCCAACAGGCAGCTCTCACTAGCATGTCTCATTTTCACTTGGTAAGCATATTTTTCTTTGAACTGTTCCTTGCTCACTCAACACGGTACCACTGCAAAAATCAAGCATTTGCATTGGAATTAGCTTTTGATTAAGATCAACAACGCGAATACATTGTAACGTGGGATTTGATGTATTTTGTGGTTTATTAGGATCATATTAGCCATTGGATTGTCCGCGCTGGTGATAGGAATATTATCGAACAACAAATCCAGGGCGTCCTGTGGCTTCACGCACCATCATTTCCTGTCCATTGGAGGAATTTTGTGTTTTGTACATGGGCTGTTTTCTGTTGCATATTACGTTTCTGCCACTGCAGCTAGTGACGAAGAAAAGTAAGAAATGTCATCTGTAAAGGAACCCCTTTTTTTTTCCCCAACTTTACTGATCATTGATCACAATCACTTTCGTCCTACATGTAAAAAAAAATATAAGCATCTTTGAATGACATTATCAATCTTGCGGGGCAGCTAATATATATATATATATATATATATATATATATATTTAGTTCAATAATTGAAAGTTTGACACATTTATCTACTCTACTCTAGTGAGATTGAAAGTTCTTATATTATATAGGTCATTTATATAAATTTTGATATGTTTTTTGATATATATTTTTAGTAAAAATTTGGACATAATTTTTATTATTAAATAAATATCGATTAAAATTAATTATAAATAATATTTTTAATAATATTATATATATATTGATATTCTCTTCAAATTTTATTAATTGTTCTATTTAAATATTTTAAAATTATTTTTAATAAAAACTTTTAGAAACTTCACTTAGAACTTTATATAAATTCTTTTCCTTTCGATCACATCGCTTTAAGAAAAAGAGATTTGCACCAAATTGGGCCACAAGCATGCTTAGTTCTTTACTAACCCAAAAGTAACACATATTCCATACCAACCTTTGCCGACTGCCTACTTTATGTGTCCGGGGACAGGATTTCAACATTTACTTCTTTATTACAAGATCTATGTTAGGAACATTCTCGGCACTGGTGAAGATGAAAACTTATAAGAAATCGTATAATCCCAAGAATGTCATTCTAACTCGGCGAGGCCTTTCTTGAACTCCATGGTGTTTGAAAATTCCTTCATATGCATGTTTTCTGGATTAATATATTTATATACATATATATTCTGTATGATAAAACTCTGAATTGATTGAATGATTTTGAAAAAAACTAAACAGAAATAAAAAGAAACAAACAAAGAGAGAGAGAGAGGAGGGAAAGACAAACAAGGTGTAGCCCACAGGTTGGACTTATAGTGGAAAATTGCAATCTTGATATCCATATTGTCAAATGGTCATCGCCACTTTTGACATGGCAGGAGCATCCCGTGATCTCCTGGCTCTACCGTCTGAAAACACTGTCATCCATGCCCAAATACACGACACCAGCTATTGCGCCGAAAACGCAAATAATTGCGCTTTGTCTTAGCTGCTTATTGAAATTGTTTTCACTTAATAAACATGCGGAATGGCTATTTTTAAAAATAAAATAATTATTTCCTGGGAATAAAATATAAGAATAATTGTTATTTTATAGTTTTAGGGTTTATGAAATAGAGTAATATTGAAATAGTATCAGGATGTTTGATTTGTTAGAAGTATGTAAAGGAATATAGGAGGAATGACTGCAAAAATATTGTTTCACCTTAAATAATTATTTCAGCCACCGACTTTGGTCATTGGTACTTAACCAGTGGTTCAATGACTGAAAACCGAGTCATCCGGAAGCTCTTCTTGCCGAAAAAGTGGGAGAGAGAAAGAAAAAAAAAAAAAAACAAAATGATTATAAAACAGAATTGGAATTAGAAAATTTACATAAAGATATAATCGTCCCAATAACAACATCTTTATTTCTTTCCATCAAGAATAGTCATTAGTTTTTTTTTTTTTTTTAAAGAATGACCAGTTCTTGACTAAAGGGGAATAAATTTAGAATGAATAATCCTCATGATAGCCATTCTGTCTGGCAAACATTTGAATCATTTGTGCATCAGGGAACAAGGGGAATGGAACGAAACATGACATTAGAGCTGGGCTTATTATTAAAAGAGGAAAAAAACAAAAAAAACTCAGTGATGGACCTATGTTAGCCGTGAAAGTGGATCAGCTTACTTTTGAACACTTTCCAGCCGAGTATGCAGAAAATTGAAACCTGAGCCTTTTAAGGCCAATGCTTACAATCAAAGTGTGTAGTCGTACCCACATTAAGTGTCTAGGGCCGCTTTTGACCCGTTACGAATTTACGATAGGCCTTTGTAGGTTTTTTTCTTTTTAAGGTTTTAATTTGAGCTTTATTATTTATTAATTTAAACTTTCAAAAAAATTTCTACCTTAATCGTGCGTCATGCATCCACGTGATACTAGTTGAATATTGTTATTTTTATATGTGCATTCCGTTGGTAAACTGATTCGGCAGTTAAGGTTAGAGCTAACAATTAATATGGTAATAATAATATATTTAATATGTATTTAATACGTAAATTATGATAAAATAAAATAAGATAATATCATAAATAAAATTAGATTAAATAATATTATTTTATCTTATATTTTTTATATATGTAAAGATTAAAATAAAATAATTTATTTATTAATCAAAATTAATATTTTTTAAATTTTATATAATTTAAATTATTAATATATTTTTTAAAGATATAATAAAATATGTAAATCATATTTGATGCATAAGATTACTAATAGAATGAGATAATAATTATTTTTATATTATGTATGATTTTCATCTAAAGAAAAAGATAAGGATTACAAAGATAATTAATATCCTCTTAACATATAATTATTCAATTCTCTCCAAGTGAAAGGAATTATTTTTAATTTATAAAATTAAACGTACATATCAAATTATATTTTTAAAAATTACATATACATTAAAAAAGTTACCATTGTTTTAAAAATTATATCAATAATTTAAATAATTCTTTTTTAATCCTTACATACATTAAACATAAAATAAAATGATATTATTTAATCTAATCTTATTTATAATATCATTTTGCTTTATTTTATCATATCTTGTGTACCAAACATAATCGAAAATTCAATCACATGATTTAAAAATAATCTTCTTTATTTTGAAAGGATTTAACGATTAATCTTTCTTATAATTCTATCTCTTTCTTTAAATACAAATCAAACATAATATAAAATAATTATTATCCTATTTTATCCATCATTTTTCGTATCAAACATGAGCTCTTTTTGATAAAATTTAAAATTGAAATAATAATAATCTTCAAGCTTTTAAAACTGAAAATTAAAAAGCAAGACTGAAAATGTAATTAGGTATATATATATATACACACACACTAAAAATGATACTGTTATTTTCAACGTGGGAAATTCATTAGCAAATTTGTTTGGAAGTTAACATTAGGACTGAATTATAACCATTTGATAACGTTAAAAGCTAAAATAATAATTTTCAAATGTTTAGGGCTGAAAGCAAAAAACATGTAAATGTTTGGGATTAATATTGTAGTTATCCTTTATATTTTCTTCATTAGGGATAAAGTCTCCATTCGAGTGAAAAATGGTTTGACATTCGACTCCTATATTTTTACTGCTGCTGCACAAAATCAGACTTGAGGTAAGATCAACTTGCGTCGAACAACTAGGGAGGATTATTTATGCAACCCAGTACTCTCAATAACCTGAAAACATCTTCCCATGATGGCATGAAACAAATAGATTACCTGGATAAGTGATGCGATTTACTTGGTTGCTCCCCAGTAAGTTCTCTAACAAGTAAGCCACCCGTTCCAGGAAGGAATCAGCCATCTAAACCTTACGCAACCTGAGAGACTAGATCTAAAAAATCCCAAACCATCTTTCCATAACAGCATGAAACAAATTAATAAGATCAGACAAGAGTGATGGGTCAACTTGGTCAACAGGCGAGTTCACTCATAGGAAAAGCCACCTATTTCCAGGCAAAGAATTAAACGTCTAATCCCTACTACGGAGAGAAGAATTTATGAAAAATATGTCCTCAGAATCCTCCAAACCTGGACTAAGCATGCCTCGAAAACCATGGACCGGATTCATGGTTGTATAATGCTCTAAAACCAGCCTATTTTCTATGTCTAATCCAAATTTACGTGGATCACTTCTCTGTGTTCATTTGATTTTCTTTTCTTAAGCATGTGCTTTCAGAAAATAACTAACATTCAATTCCTGTCTATACAATGATCTTACCCCAAATATTTGCTAATAAAACTGGAACTTTTGCATGTTTCTTGTTGCCATTCTTATCAAGAAAGTAGAAGATATAACGATTTCTAACAAATCTAGTTTAAAAACCATAACTCAATCTCAACAAAAGATTAATTATTTTTATTAGATCACTACTGCAAAGTCCTCTGAAACCAGCTATTTGGAATGAAATTATGAATCTACACACTTTTTCAAAAGTAATTTTTATAGTTAAACCAAAACGAATAGAAGTCAGTTGACATCTATTCTACTGAACTAAACCTCCCAGCTTTCAGAATAGAGAATCATCGGATTATAACTAGTGAACCATTTCCTAAAGACAGCTATAAAAACTTGAACCAAGTTTTTATGAAGAAGCAATTACAAGTAAATTACCATCCATCACAAAGGACTATTTAGATTAAGACAAATGGGATCAAGATATACCACTATTACATTAAAATTCATAACATAGTAGGATGAAGAATCAGGAGACCAATGCTCAGCCCAAAACAGAAACATTTAAAATCCAGACTGAGCAAAAACATAAAACCATTTGTCACCACAAAAATTCCCACAAGTCAACATCTTAAAGCAAAAAACTGTACCTAAATTTCGGACCCCTTGACAACATCCAAAGCCGCTTGAGCCATCTCCTGAACCAACTCAAGCCTCTTTAAATACAACTCCAATTGCTTAGTCTTCAGCTCCCTCCACACCCTCTCCATTTCCCTCAACTTCTCTCTTCCAATCTCCCCATCATTCTTCTCCAATAACTCCATCAAAAAACCCCCCGCAAGCCCCCATTTTCCTGTCTCAAAAGACTCCTTCAAGCACGGATAATCCTTCCAAAAATCCACCTTCTCTTCTTCACTACCCGAGCTAACATGAGTAGAAACATCAGCATTGACTTCCTTATCTTTTACAAAACAGGGCAATCCCAAAGTTATCGCACCGTTAAATTCACTCTCGCCTTCATCTTTGCTAGTCAAAGTCTTCATTGTCTTTTGCCTCTTGTTACTCTTCTCATTAGTTTCATTACCCCAAATCTTTTTCGACAGCTCGAAAGATTTGTGGTCATGGGGCTTTGAGAAAACAGGATCATTCCCATTCTGACACTTCTCACTATTGGTTTTGTACTTCTTCTTGAGTCTCCTGATTTTCTCCGACAACTGATACTTAGACACGTCGGCTTGGATCGATTGCTTGATGAAATCATGGAACCCGCTGGAATCTGCATACGGGTCGGATCCTTTCTTTGACTTGTACTCGATCATGCCTTTCAAGATCGCGATCTCGTCGGCTTCGCTCCACAGCCGTGCGGTCCCAGGCGTCTTCACACTACCACCACCACCACCGCCGTTGGATGCGGATGCCGCTGTCCTCCTCTGCTTTGAGCTTGATTCGAGGGCAATTGGCTTTGGCTTGGGATTAGACTTCGGGGCGGATTTATTGGGCTTGCTGACAATGGGCTTAATGGTGAAATCGGAGGCGTTAGGGGACGGGAGAGACTTGTCTGAGTCAGACTCGGAGTCTGAGCCGACATTGTCAGAATCTGACTTTTGTGTTTTCAAAGGGGTTTTCTCCTGGTCTCCCGCCTCTTCGTCTTGTTCTTCTTCTTCTTCTTCTTCGTCTTCTTCAATGGCATCATTTTGGGGTTCGTCATCCCCTTCAGCGGAGCTGTTTCCTTGAGAGGATTCATCCTCTTCTTCATCTTCAGAGGAAGAGGCGGAAGGAGGGTCTTCGATAGGCCGCTTGCGAGCCATTGTTTGTTTTCAGAGAGTAATAGAAAGAAAGAAAGAAAGTTGTCAACTGATATTCATACGAGAGGACGCGGAGAGAAGGGTTTATAAGCCTATATATATAGTCTGATTATGATTGATAGGGTTTTGAGTTATGACACAGTAAAGAGTGCCGATGCGGCACGCATTCCTTCTAATAATAAATGTCTATTCGATCCTCCTCGCATTCCAATTCTTTTTAGTTTTATTTTTTATTATTAAATTTAAATTTCAAATTAAATTTTAATATTCTATTGATAAATCATTTACATGTTAATTTCAATTTTTTAAGAATCAAGACGTAATGATACTCTACCTAATCATCAGGAATCTCATAAAAAATAAAAAAAAAAAAAAAAGAATACTGGGATTGAGCTCATGAAAAACTAGGGATCCAGTTTATCATCAGCATAAATGAATTACAAAAAAAAAAAAAGAAGATATTGATGTATTTGCGTGGATATGACACAGTTGACTGTACAAACGAAATTTGTTTTATCTTGAGAAAATCCTGATTGCTTGAGGTTCATTCCCTCAAGGCCTCTTATTTTTCATCATGATTTACAAAATAATGGGACTTTGAAGCTTTGAATTCTGTTCATAAGATGCAAGTGATAGACGCCCTGGTTCTGCAATTTCTATGATTCCTCTCCTCTAACATACTATGTTAAACCCCCTGAATTAGCCACGCAGAGATGAGAAAACAATTAGAACCATGAAATATGAATGGTTATTGAGCAGTGAAGCAAGAACGCTCCATAGTTCATAAATCTCATGCCCATGTTCCTATATAATATACACGCTTGGTGTTATTCTATAGTTGTGAATCATATTTAAAAAGAACCAAGATCAACAATATATATTTAAGTTCTTAAACTCACACACTAAAAGTGAAATGCAAATATATAAATAGAAAATGTTAGTTTAAATCAAGTGTATAAAATTTTTTTAAAAAATAAATTTTCATAAATTTTGATCATAAACTACATTTTTAATATTTTTATATATTATTGACTTTCTCATTAAAGTATACTAATCTATTAATTTGAATTTTTATTTAGTAATTTTTAATAAAAACATTAAATTCACTTTAAAAAATTTCATATAATAAACTATAATTAATAGTAAAAAGAAAAGAATATATGTTTCCAATTGAACATTTCTTATACCTTTCTAAATTTACAGCTAATGAGAGGAGCTTTCGTCGTCAGAACTGGAACTGGAACTGGAACTGTCTATCCGCCGGTCGGAAATTGCAGGAAATAGTCGTTTACGAAAATCTGAGGATTGTTGCTGATTCTCCGAAGATGGCTGTCGATTTTCTAGAGAAGCTGACATTGATGCACCTTCTTTTGTGGAATTTCTGAGAGGCTTAGCTCTTGTCTCTCTAACTTCTTTACATACCTTATCTAACATTATCAAGAAATCACGCACAATTGCAAACAAACGCAAGCCTTCATTTCTTGCTGCCTGTCCATGAAAGTAATCTGCTGTGCTCTTGACCATGTCCGTTATCCTTTTTTCTTCCTCTGATAGCCATCTAATATCAGCATCCGCACGGTCCACAAAACTAGACAGTGAAGGAAAAAATTCACTGTCCTCATCCGTGCTCTTCATCTCTGAATTCATAAACTCTCTAGTTTTCTTTAAAGAATGATCTAGTTTAGACACAGTAGATGTTAGCGCATCAACATCAATTGCTGCAGCCTTTTTAACATCTGCAAGTTCAATGCATACACCTGAAACCACTTGAAGTCCAAGACAGCGGTAATGCTCCTCTGCTTCTTGGTTGTGATCTTCAACAGAGTCCTCTGAATTAAAACTTGAAAGGCTTCGGCTTGATAATTGTGTGCGATTGCGAACAGCTCTTATGCCCTCAGAACGTATGATCTCCCGAACTACAAAGTGGAGGAGCGTGGTCTTACCATCTATTCCTTTTACATCAGACAGTTTCAAGAGTGTGTCAAGCTTGAATGCCTGTGCACCACCACGGTAGGTACCATCATTCATGCGATTACCGGTTTTAAGAACTGCTTCTAGAAGTTTTAGGAACAATCTGCTACTTTTAAGCTTGGTGCAAGCAACCTGCCATTAAGACGATAATCACAATCATCTGGCAAATTATCTTTATTGATTAGAGATTCTTTGATTTACGAACTATATTCATGAACATAAATACCTAGAATATATGTTTTAAAGACATCATTAAATCCTGTGTTCCCCTGATTGTAGAGAAGAAGAATATTCCATTGATGAAAAATTAATAGAGAACTTATACGAAATATTATTGTTTTCATTTCCGTCCTTCTAGGGGAACCTGAAGGATTCTCTGGTATTCAGTTCTTATATCTAGTATCTCACCTCAAGAATTGCAAAGGATTCTTTAATGCTAGTGACTTCCTCGTGGAGAGTACTCATGAACAGCAAGGACTCAATTCGTTTGAAGGCAAAAGGTATTTCAACCAAGATTTTAAGGAACCTCTCTGCAGGACCCAGTTGAGAAACATCTCCTGCGAATAATCTAAGCTTCAGTTCCTCATCAGTTGTTGGCGCCATCTTCTGCAATGTTTGAAGGAGCTCTGCTGGAAGCTCGTTACCTGTTCAGTTTAATTTTGAAAAGTAAGTTGTCAGATGTATTTAAGACTGAAGAAGGTGAATATAAAACACACTTTTCACAAGCATATTTCACTGTCTAGATGAATAAGAACTTAAAACTGTTTGCCTCTGTAGCCAATATCCATGCACTTAATATCTCAATTACTATCTTTGTCTTTGACAAGCTTTTTTCCCATAAGTAGCAAGACAACAGGTGTAAGCTTTGAATTACTTGCCAGTAAAATATTAAAAGTCGAACTGAACCATAACAATTCTAGTTCAGCCAAAATGTAAACTACTGAAAAATTTTTGGAAGCCCAAATATAGGACTAAATATTATTTACAGCCTAGTAGACTTAAATAGCCTGATAATTGATCTGAGTAAATCAGTCATCACTTATTCTCCTGTAATACCAGGGTCATAAACCATCAGAAAAGGTTAAAAACTCAAATTCTATGAAGCACTGAACAAATAAAGCAGAAGAAAATAGAAACTTACCAAAGGAGCCCGATAATAAGCACTAATAATTACTCAAATTCCTATTACATTCAACACCAAAAAGTTCTCGAATAATGTAGTTTGCTTACGTGTCTAAATTAAAAGGGGAACTTAATAATTTGCATTAGAACTTCTATTCACCCCAAAAATAAAACATCGACATGCAAGAGTTGTTAGGATTCATTGAGTAGTGAAGACAGAAGAATATTTGCATCAAACTGAAGATAACATTGTCAGTTTAAGCAATTTATTCTTTTGTTCAATCAAATTTGTGCATTCTGATTGTCTGTCAAAACATAACAGTAAATTCTTTCTAATTGTCTGTCAAAACATAACAGTAAATTCTCGTTGCTAGTATGCTAGAAATACTTCTGATAGTATTGATTTAAGAGATAGACAAAGACCTTCTCGGAGAGCATCAACAACTTCCCCTGTTGTGACATTTAGTGCACGTAGAAGAATAGACAAATTTTGTGCTTTCCTAGGGTCAATAATCTGAATGTATTGGATCGAAGGTTCTGATGGTGAATCTCTCTTTTGATCATTCTTGTTATTAGTCCCTTGATTATAACCAAATAAAGTCTCTATCATCTCCTCATTGAACCTGTACAATTTGGAATCAGAGAATATTTTGAAGAAACATTGTTAGCCAGAAAATTTAAAACTAATATAGTATAGAGTTGTTGTCTTACTGGAATGATCCAGCACTGATCTCATGCCAAACCATCGTCTGATCTGAATTAGCCATAACCTTGTCCCAGAAAAATGGTTTTAACTTGGCTTTTGGAGCTCCGGATTCACCATCAGTCTCGTCTGCACTACCAGAAGCACTATGTCCTCGATGATGTGGTCCAAGTGGTGAAGGTTTTGATTTCGGTGGAATAGGTGGAGGACGAACAACTTTAGGTGGAGGTGGGGGGTTAGGACGAGGAGGAGGTGGCGGTGCTGCAGCAGGAGGTGGAGGAGCTAATCTCCCAGGAGGAGGCTTCAGGGGAGGAAATGCTGCTCCCGCACTTGCTTCTAATGATGGTGCTTTTGCAAGTGAGGCTTCATGATTATATTTTTTCGTGGACAATTTACTAACAAAAGAAGGTTTCTTTCGGCTGCTAGCTCTGAATTCTTTGTTGCTGGAATTTCCTAAACTAATAGACTTCTGTGAAGAATCTGAAAGATAGTAAAGTTAAAATGCTTGTGGAAACATGAACAAGAAAATGAAGATGATAATGATTCAATGAAAAAGAAACACAACAAGCACATACCAGGAGATAAATCACTTAAGCAGAGAAGAGGTCTTTCATCTTTTTTTCCGCTACTTCTCTTCAGACAACAAAAGAAGATCAGTGTGACAAGAGCAAATGTCGTGGCTGCAGTTGCAACGACAGCAGCAAAAACAGTCTTCATAACATCATTCTTTTCATCTGCTGAATGCTGAGTTCTATCATGGGAACCAGGTGATAAATGTTTATGTGTTGGAGGTGATGGGCTAGAATGAGAATGTTTGTGATATGGTGGTGGTGGCGGTGGTAAAGTGGAAATCATATTTGATACATGAAGCGAATTGGTTAATGCACCTCCTGGTGGATGTGACCTTAGACAGCTTGCATAAGCCTGATGGGACATTGCCGGAACATAATTAAATGGTGTAGGAGCAGGACCATAACTAAATGGTGCAGATGACAGTAAAGATGTTGTTACTGGTGCTGGTGCCGGTTCTGGTGCCAGTGCCGGTGCCGGTGCTGGAGCCGGTGCCGGTGTCATCTCAGGAACTAGAGCTGGAGAAGGACCTGAGGTTGTGTGCGGATTTGATAAACTAACCAGATACCTTCTAGGAGCATTTGGCAATTTCAAAATGAACTCAAGAAACTTTTGGAACCAGTGCTTAAAGGTAACCTCTGGGTCAGAAGCATGAAAGACAAGTCCTTTCTTTCTTAAGCAATCAAAAAGCTTTTCTCTCACTTGAGGAGGCAAAATGTCAATAGCTTTGTGTATTCTTCGTTTTGCTAATAATGCTGACATCAAGTCATTGGTTGCTTGTGGTATATACAGGTCAAAATCTTTAATAGCATCTCTTTTTTCTGCCATCTCTTTCTTGCAATGAATCCATGCCTCCTCTGCCTGTGATTAGAAATTTTTGTCAAGCATTTAACAGGTAATTTTTTTAATGCTGAACCTCAGAATTTGACTACATTTTGAGAGGGGGGTTGGTAGGAATAGGCAGAAGAGAGAAAGACAAGAAATTACAGATTGAACAATAGAATTCAAAATAATAATAATAATAATAATAAACATACATAAATAGCAATGTCAAATAAAACTGAAAACTGTAACACATAACTCTTGATTTTTCATCTGCCAACAATGTCATTGATTGATAACTGCAGTCACATATAGATGAACTTCTAATTTTGCATTTCTATGCATTAACCATGAAAGATACTCAGACTAAACCTACTTCATACATGAATCTTGCCTATAATCTGCTTCTAAACCCCTAGAAAGGGAAGTTACCAAATTTATAAATCAAAGTATAGGGACACTTTTTGACATAGCTTAGAAGCCTGCATATTTGTTTCAACAGTTGAACTACCTTTGAATTACAGAATCTAACAGAATTGCCTAGTATTTAAAATTATTCTCTCTACCTTGAATTGAAATCATATTTGTTCAATTCCCTTCATCATTGTGCTAGAGACATGCTAAAGTACCAATTCAGACAAGAATCTTCAAATGTGTTTTTGCCATTAATGAAAACCATTAACAACATAACAGCTCCAAGAATTCGGGAAATTAAAGCAAGTAATAGAAAAAACCATCATACCATTTTTTCATTAATATTCAGAAATGATGTTGTCCTGCCTTCATTGGCAAAAAATATTTCAGGTATCCTCCTCTTACCTTCTGAGCTCCCCATGGCTAAAGCGCAAAGCAATATCACGAAAACAATGGCATAACCAACCCTTCTCATTTTCATTGCTCCTCCAACAATTACCCCATTCGCGTATTTTTCTTCTCATTTCATCGAATAGACTAAAAAAATTTCAAAACGTAATAAACAAAAACCAATAGGAAACGCCAAAAACACAATCTTTTTCTATGTTGCTTCTTTTCCTTTCCGTCAGCCTTCAAGAAAAAATGCCAAATAACCCTCAAAAACAAAACCAATTTTTTATCTTCAAAACTTTTGCTTTGTACATTGCATTAATCAACCTTGCAATGACAGTAACAAGGATATTTTCAATATCTCCCAATCTTAATAACCCAAAAAAAAAAAAAAAAAAAACAGGCCTTAACCTGTTTGATCAATATATTTGCAGCTAGACAGAACCAAAAGGCAAAAAAACGAAAAAAAAAAAAACAGATAACGTATTAGAAAGACAAACCCAATTATTGGTTGGTAATAATATGATGAATAAGAACAATTTTTGTTTTGCTTTATTTTTTTTTTTCTGTTGGGATTTTTGTTCATCCGATTGTTTCTCGTTTGCCGGGTGAGGAAAGAGAGGAAAGCGAAAGAAAGAGATTGACTCGATGCATTTGGAGACGTGAGGAGGACAATGTGGGATCACCCACCCGCTTTTTTTTCGTTTGTTATTGCCTTTTTATTATTATTATTATTATTCTATTAGTGCTAATCAGGAACACGAGGTAATGGAACCCCATTAATTCCTTTCCATACCCTCCATTATTTAAGAAAAAAATTCACATTTTATGTGCTATTTTCATCAAATTCAATAAAAAATATACATTAATTATAAATTTTTCTTTAAACAACTGATTAAGCATTGGTTAATATTTATGTTTTTATACAATAGTTGCTTTCCGTCTTATCTTATTTGTCCTATTAATAAGGAAAGAAGCAAATTTTTTTATCAATTGGTTTTGATTTTGTGCCAAATACTTCCATCCTTAATAAATAAAACAAATATGAAAAAATGCATACTTAATATCGTTCGAAATAAGACTTTCTTCAGCAGAATTTAAAGATTTCTTTGATTATATTATTAAAAAAAAACTATTTTTATTCTTAATTTTAAATAAATTTTGCTTAAATCTTTATCCTTACGAAAAAATCGTAATTTTTCCTATTATAATAAGTTAATTAAAGACCATACCATTTAGCCAAGTAAATGTTTTGTTAAATATTGATTATATTTAATACTTATTCAATGCCAAAATTAAGCATTTAATGCTAATATCAATTGGACCGATCAATTTAATGCTAGAATAATTATTAAAATAAGCATTTAATAATTATTTAATGCTAAACATTGACTGTTAATGTGTATATCTTGTATATAATCAACGTATCAAATGTTGTTATTTCATTATCAACATTAATATTAGAATTTGATAAAATAAAAGATAATTATAAAAAAAAATAATGATTTAGAGATAAAAAAATGTATAAAGAAAATATGTAATATAAATATTATTAGATTTGTAAAAATATTATTAATAATATAAAAAAATAAAAAAAAAATTGAAAGTGAGTTTTTAGTTGAAATGGAAAAAAAAAAAAAAACTACTTAAAAAAACAATATAAATGTTGATCTCTTACTAAAGAAATCAAAGAATTCTAAAATTGCTCGTTCAAATTTAAAAATTTTGATAATAACAATTTTATTTTATTTTAAGATTTTGGAAATTTATGTACAAATAAAATTCTTTTTTTGAAAAAGTTAATTTTAATATGAATTCGGCGTTAATTAATTGTTAAGACTTTAGAATTGTGTACATTTTTTTTTTTTTAGATAAGATAGAATTGTATACATTTAATCCTAAGAGAAGTGAAACATATCCTTAAATACTACAATCATCAGCTTAGATGGATCGTAGTTTAATTACAACAATAATGTTACCTCCCATATACCATAAGTTTTGATTGTCTAAAACCGTCAACTGATGGGCCAGCAAGACCGACCAGACCGACCAGCATTTGGGTGGGACTGGAAACCCCTTGTTGTTTATATACACAGCCCACCAAACGCCATCTCCAAAGGTATGTTTCAACAGACTGCCAATTTCGTTGTATTGTAACAGGATGTATCCAGCAAACCATAATCAAAATAACTATAAAACTTGCTATTTTCAAAGTTTCAGATTTCAGACAACGAGTACACGATTGCTATAACTACTGGACTGGCCAACCCTAACCTGTTTCTCTTTATTTTCCCTACATTTGAAGAACTCTTAGGAAGGAGAAAGCGATTTAAACTTTAAACCTCAACACTGTTGAGAATGAGAACTACTGCTTAGCTAAGCCGATATTGTTAGCAACGTGTTTTGCTTTTATGAAAACCATATAAGCTTTTAGACTGATAGAAGTCCCTTATCCACAACAATGCTGTGCTATTCCCTGAAACTTATGCCTCTAAGACAAGTGACCATCGATTGATGTAATGTCCTCGGCATCTTCAATGTTCTTCTTTTGTGTTAAGAGGTAGCTAATGCTTAGGTGTGGTCCAGCGAGTGAGCAAGCTTCCTCTTTGTGATCATCTGTTGATTGATTCCTATACGAAAAGAACAGAAAAGCTCAGTTAGCATTGATAAATTTGCGTAGCTAAATAAGATCTCTTTATTCTATTTTCATGCAAGTTTTAAGTGGTATTGCCAGAAAAATATCCAGAGATGATTTTCAATTACATAGAACCACATGCAAAAGCCAAAATCCTATACCTCTTTCCTTTAGAGTTTACAGATTCTTCAGTTGTCAGATCAGAGCCCTTCAACTTAACAGCAGGCATCTATGAATTAAACATGGAAGGAGTTATTGCATGCAACAACAATTGACTGTTTACCATAAGAAGAGAATGCTTTTAATTGATCTAGATAAAACTCCACCCTATTTCTCCCCCCATTTTCTTTACATTACCTCAACATCATTGAGCTTTGAAGGTGAAGTCTCTTTCTCAAGCAGTTTTGCCTTCTGAAGGAAGAAGGATTTCTAATGTTAACTTTCATTAGATCAGGGGAAAAATTCACTAGTGAAAAATAAACTCACTTTCAACTTTTCAATTCGTTGAATTGCACCGATAACAAATTGCTGGTGGAGATTAGCTTGAGGAATTGTGAGGATCTTTGTCATATCTGGATTATAATACCTGTTTTATTTTTTATTTTATATAATAAGTAAAGTAGAATAACATATGTTATCAAACTATCCCAAGTTGTCCAAAGCAATAGTTGAGACTACCGGCTATAACTCATAAAAAATTGATGATAATTATGCAGAAAATAAAAATAATAACCTTATCCTTTCCTGAGCTTCATATTTTTGCCGATTGAGTTCACAAAGTTTTCTCTCAAGAGCCTAGGAAATCAAAAGAGAGCAAAACCAGAAAGTTATGAGAACTATTATCATTAGGGAGCAAAGAACAGCAAGTTTATTCAGAGTTTGTTTACCTCCAAGCTGAACATCAGATTGTGTTAACAGCCGATAAATCATTCATATGATAAAATAAAAAGAATGCATGTGAGAAAGAAATAAAATAAAATAAAGCATAAATTTTGTGACTCTGTGTGTAAGCATATGAATGTGCATGTTTGGAGAGAGAGAGAGAGAGAGGACCTCAAACCTTCCTATTTTATCCAGCATTTCTGCTTCGTACTTCAACTGTTTGAGATTATGGTACAAGAACTGTAAGCACAGGCAATAGACAGCAGAGTAAGGAGATAAAAACAATCTCAGTAAAGAGGCAAAGGAGAGAAGAGAGAGATTGAAAGGCTACCTCTTCATTGTGGACATATCTGATATACAGAAAATATTTTGGGGACAAACAGTGGCAGAAACACAGACAAGGACAGATACAATCATATTAGTAAACCCTCAGCTTGGCTATTTGTGAAACCTTTTATGAACCAAAAATAATGATGATCAAACATACCCTTTGAAATCATCAGGCTGGTTAATATAACGAAGAAAGATATCCTCGATCCTGTAGAAGGCATAACAAAAATTTTATCACAAGATGCATTTTGAACTTTAAAACACAAGATCATGGAAAGAAGAACATAAATAATAGTATTATCAATTAGATACTGTTCATCAACCTTCCCTTGTTAGCATAGCTGGTCAATCGACCTGTAGGAGAAAACATCAGAAGGCCAACATCTGCATCACATGACATAGCTAACTCAATGGCCTTCTTGAGAATGCCTTCCCTGCGTTTTGAATAAGTTATCTGACGAGAGCAAGGATTGTCAATTCTCTTTATCAGGAGCCTCTTGCGACCCATGATCAAGGGAAACTGGATAAGAAAGTGATGAAGGAAGAAAACTAGTTGGGGCTACTAAGAGAAATGGAGTTTATATGATAAGAAGGGAAGAATATGAATTGAATTTTCAGGCCATGCAAGAAGGTAAAATAGTGGTAATATGCCAATTGTCAAAAGTTCCCTCAACCATAATCACTAAGGGATTTTCTTTGGCCCGATTAAGGCTTTCAGAGAAAATTGTAGATATTCTTGAACTTAATTAAGAAGAACATAAAATAATCACTGTAAACCTAAAATTAGAAACAAATTAAAGCAAATATAAAATAAAATAATATCATTAGAACGGTTTAAGGCTTTGATGGGAGTTGTCCAAGAAGAAGGCAGCAAGCGCATCAACCAGCCATAACCAATGGATTGACATTTTCCGCATGGCATTTCTGTAATGAAGTCCGTACAAATCTTAAAAAAAGAATTATTCTTCATGAAGCAAGTACCATTCACAAGTCCGAGTGAATCCATGGTCAGTATCAAGAGATTTGAGGCAACTAGCAAGACATAACTTTGTAAAGCCATAAAGTCATTTCCTAATAGGAATTTTAGAGATTTACATACAAGTGATGTACAAGCGATATCAGATAAAGTCTGGAGTTTACGAAAGAACTGTCAAAGCATTAACATAAGCTAACCCACCATTTGATGGAGAATAAATGCGAGCAGAAGTAGCCAGATGAATTGTGAACTCCATTGCATTTAGTTTCCAACTACCTAAGCTCCTAGTAGAGATTAGTTTACTAATAAGAACCATCTGTTTAGTGAATTTTCACAAACGTATTCTTGATGAAGTTATCTATCATAGAGGCAAAAACTAAAGAAAAGTAGCTCGCTTGTTAAGGATTTAGATTCAGATGTTTTAAATTGCCTTAATTTTACATCAACCAGACAAATCACTCATCAAACTGAAAAATAGAGATTTTCTGATTTACCACATTTCAGGGTTAAAGAACAGGGAATTCATTAGTACAATAGTATGTGCTTCAACCTTCCTAGTGAAAGGAAGAGCAATAGAACTAGGCCAAACCCAGTTTTGAAATGACTAAGATGTCAGAATACTGACTCAAATTATGACTATCCCCATAAAACACAATCATCTTTCTTTTTCATTGAAAGAGTTCATTGCACATATCAATACCATATATCAAGAAAATTAAAAGGAAACGTTGAAGCAAGCAAACAAGAAACAGAAATTATAATAAAACAACAGAATATAAATACAAAGCAACAAAAAATGGAAAATTGTTCAATGAACGGACCCACCTACTTCAAATAATTAACCAAACGCTTTACCTATCATTTTGTAAAAGGAGGAAGCATTAAACTAACCAGAGCAAGAACCAATGAAAAAGGCAGGTGGACCCAAAACTCAAGAAAACTCCAAACATTTCATCAGAGACAGCTTTGAATTTGGATACCCATTTTCGGATTCCCTCCAGCTTAGCGTCATCCATGACTCAACGCCTGTCCAGCGGCAAAGTAATTCATGTCAATGTGTGCTTTTGTTAAAAGTGTTTGGCATAAAATTTTAGTATCAGCACTGGGGATGTAGCTCAGATGGTAGAGCGCTCGCTTAGCATGCGAGAGGTACGGGGATCGATACCCCGCATCTCCATTTTTTTTGTCCTTTTCCCTTTTTTTTAATAACATTTCCCAATATTTTATTTTAAATAATTTGCGATAATGAATTGATAATGATTCGATTTTAATGCGATTCTGGAGTTCATTCTCATAAGCCTGGTGGGACCTAGGGATAATTGAGTTTATAATTATAGGCATTTGTTAAGATTAATTAGGGATAATTATTGAATTTATCATTTTACTTATATGATTATTTTAAATTATTATAATTTTTTAGTTGGCTTATTTTATACATTATATTTATCAGTATCCTTTTAATTTTAAAGTAAATTTGATCGAACTATAACAATTGGGAAATATTTGTAAAATAATTCATTAGAAGTTTTTTTTTATAATTTTTTGAATAAAATTTTAAAAATAACATGATAAAAAATAAACTAAGAAAATCAACTGAAAAAAAAAGTATGATCTTACATTATATTTAATAAAAAAAAAATGTTCATTGTTACATTATAATATGAATCGTTAGAAAAGGCACAAAAATTCAAAATCTATGTTACATATATAGATATAGTTTAAGATCAAAATTTTTAACTCAAATTTTTTTTGGGTGAAACTTTTATCTCAAATGAAATAAAATATGAGAAATATCAAAATTACACATGAGAAATGTAATATGTATAGTTAAATGGGCCTGACTTGATGGATCGTGGTGAAAAGAAGCCCAAAACCAGAGATGCTCAAAGGTTTTAATTTTAAAGTTGAATGAGGCCCAACATTGCATGCATGGATGAACAATTTATATGCAAATGCAATTGCTAAGGAATTACTTTTAAAAAATGAAATTTAATAAATTAAAATTAAAATTTTGATATCAATAATTTTTTTATATTCTTATATTATAGCTTTTTTTTAATAAAAAATAACTATTTTGAGCTCCCAGATAATAATACAAGAATTTAAAGATTCAAGCTTTAATTTTATTTCTTAAAAAATATATATATATATTATACAACTTAATTAAAAGCTTAATTTGACGAGTGACAGCAAACATGTTTGTCTAGCTCAAGCATGACTCCCAAAATATCCTCGTTCAATGGTTTCATTGTTTTTTAAGTTATAATCATAATTAAATATTATATTTATAGAATTAATTGAATAATTATTTAATATATCATAATCAAGTTACAATAATTAAATAATCAATTAATAAATTTAAATATAATTAAATAATCAAATTCACACATAATAAAGTTTGAATTTAAAAATTCAAAGTCCTATGACATTCTGCCTATCACTAAGCCAAGACATCCTCGCATTCAATAGTTGAGTGTATTCCTTCCTTTACCTAATTAACTTCTCCTTAATTCATGATTAAATACTTATAAATACTATCCAAAATGGGGGCAAATTTGATATTCTAAACCAAGTCTCAAACTCAGCAAAACTAAAATCTAGAATTTAGAGGGAGAGTTAGTTGAAGAAACAGCTAAAGATAGAGCACCATTTGGAACCATTATAGGCTCGTTTTTCTCTCTTTAATGGGCCTTCTCGTGCAATCAGTCTTGTTTTTCTCTTTCCTGTGTTACAAAAAGGTGTTACAGGCTATTAGAGTATTGGGCTAATTTGATCATTTTTTCTAGTTCAGTCCAATAAACATAAGTCTATTTTAAATGCTTGTTAAGTCAGTTAATATTTGATTAGTTATATAGGTGCTAACTAGCTTTTTAAATCCGTACAATGTACGGGATTTTTTATTAAATTTTTCATAATTTTAAATTTTTTTTAATCATTTATCTAATTTATAATCATATATTTATAAATGTTAAGTTACAATTAAATGATAAATTATACATAATATATTATAAATGATATTGTTCATCTAAAAGACGTCTAAACTTTTGTAAATTTTTAAAAATTATAAAAATATTTTTTTTCATTAAAAAATAATTTTTTAATTTATTTGCTAAATACTAAAAATTTTACTACCGCTTTTTTCTTGTTTGATAAAAAATAAGAATTAATATTTAAATAGTAAAATTAATAATTATTTTTATCATAGTGTTAGTTAGGTGGTATGTATATATATATATATATATTTGATTGAACAATAAATCACAATTATTAATTTTATTATAATCATTTGCTTTTTATTAGTTCTTATTTTTTACAAACTTCAAGTAATTATTACACAAATACATTGGGCTAACAAACTTTTTTATATATGTCAACAAAATAAAGTTATTTTTTAGATAAAAGAGAAACAATAATTCTTTATGTTATGCTTAAAAATTATTTTTGCTTTTTTTTATTTTTAATCATTTTTAACATAATTGATAGCATTTTTTGTGAGTTAGATATGATAGTGATCATCATTCTTCTCATATAATCCATTGTAAACAAAAAAATTTAATAATAAAAAGTATACTAAAAAGAAATAGAGAATATAAATTTATATATTAATTTGTCAAGATTAAATATATACAATAATAAAAGAAAATATGTTAATAAATTAATAGAGAATAAAAACATTGAAGAAATAAATAAAACAAAAAAATATATAATACAAAAAGTTAATTATAATCAATCTAAGCAAAATTAAAAAAAGTTAAGGACCGAAGAGAAACAAATAAATTAACCAAATATAAAATATAAAAAATGTTTAAATTAAAACATAAATAAAACAGTATATTTGTTTCAAAGCAAAAACATATTTTATCTAACTTTTTTATCAATATTCAAATGTCTCATATTTTCATATAAAAATGTAAGCTTTTATTACTTTAAAAATACATGCTTTCTAGTCAATAATTCATTAACTTATATAAAATTATTAAATTTAAATAATCTATTAAATAATTTTCAATTTTTGATAGATTTTGATTTGAATTTAAATAATTATCTAAAAATATTAAATTTAAATAATTTATTAAATAAAATTAATTGATAGAAAGTAAAGTTTGATTAAATATGTATGTTTGGAATTGCCATTATATTAAAAAAAAAGATAAATTATGATTTAATTATGTATTTGATAAATTATAAATTATTTAAATTGAATATTTTGGATAAATTAGATAGATATTGATTTCAATTTAAATAATTATCCAAATATTCAATTTAAATAATTTATTAAAAATTTTTATTTGATAAATAAAGTAATATGAATATTATCCTATGTGTCATTAAAAAAAATTATCTATCTAAACATCCACATAAGCAGTTTTAATAATGTAACCTTGTATATTGTAATATAATATATATATTATATTACAAGGGTTGTTGGTTTTTGCTGACTCATTATCCTACTCGTATATGGGTGTATTAGCAGTGATTGAATCCAATCACTGAAATACAATATGGAAAATTCCCCTTTTTTTTTTCCTTTCTTCCCTTTCTTCTTTAGAAGGAAGTTTGTTGGTTTTATGGAAATTATGATTAAGTTTAGTGATTGTAGGTTTATAGGTGCTAATAGGAGCTGTATGTTTAATAGGTTGATTGTAGTTCATAAAGGAAGCCTTTGGAATGGGTAGCAAGGGAGAGTAAGTCATTTTAGGTTGAAGTGATGTTTGAGTTGATGGGGTTGGTGTTGGTAAGGGATTTTTTGAAGAAGTATATAGTTTTCGAAGTAAGGTATATATATGGGATTCCATCTGTTTGGCAAGTTTATAAGCATGGGTCAAGTTTTGGGGATAAAACATCCTAATGGGTTTGGATTCAAATTGCTAATAATGATGCAAAGAGCATGCTCATCAGATATATCAATCATGTTTAACAGTCCTTAAAATTCATCATAAAAATCATCAAAAGTATGATTTTTCTTTAGACTCACTAGTTTAAACATAAGATTGGAAAACTCACTTTCATCAAAACGAGATCACATTTTAACAATATATTGAAGCCATGAAACATCAGTGAGCGTACCTCTATTCTTTATAAACTGCTAGTGCCATTGAAGAACCTTCCTATCTAGATGTATCATTACAATCTTAACCTGATAACATTTTCGGGTTTAAAATAATTGTTCGATCTAAAGGAGCCAGCCCTTGAAGTCGCTTCTCTCAAAACATAGGCATTCGATCTTAGAGTATTAGGTATGCGTCATCGTCATCATAGGTAAACCACCCAGTTTCATCAATGATTTGGTCCCACTCATATTCACCGCCTCATTCTGTTTGACTCTTGAAACAACTGTTTTTTCCTCATTCCCTGCTTTTAATATCTTCAGTGAACTCTTGAACGTTGGAACGAGTTGATCAAACATCTTCTTCGGATCAACGTCAATTTTCTCTAGCCTAACTTGCAAACATCTTCTTCTTTTTCTTTTTTATTAAAGTAGTTTTGTGAAAAAAAAAAAAAAAAGAAAACTCAATAACATCCCATTTGGTTATTTTCCCTTCTTTTTTATATTTTTTTCATTAAATAAATTTTACAACAAAAAATATTAATTTATAATAATATTAAAATAATTTATATTCGATAAATTTTAATCAATTTCAATTTAATAAAAGATAATTTTTTAAAATTGAAATTAACTTAAGATAAATCAAGTTTTTTTTTTTAAAAAAAATGAGTTTGAGTGAAGGTTTATTTAGAGTATTTTATCCTTATTTCAAGATATATATAAAAATATTTTTTTATTTTATATTTAATTTTATACATATAAATGCATTGTGCTAAAAAAGTTAATTTTACTTTAATTTAAAAAATTAATGTTTTTAAGTTAAATATGAAGAGTCGATGTGACATCTTTTGTGAGCTTTTTTTTATCAAATTTTATTTTATTTTTTATTATTTCTTTTTTTATGTTTTTGGTTTTTGATCTTTATTTTTTGGATAAATTTTATGAAAAAAAATACCAATTAAAGTATTCATGTATCATTTTCGTTTTTTTTATCATTTTTTTATCATTTACGATATATATATATATATGATAAATAAAAATGATAAAATAAAAAAAAATTTACCGTAATTTTCTAATTATAATTAAAAAAAAAAAGAAGAAACTTCATGTGAGTTTCGGGAGTCAGAGGATGAGACATCTGTAATTGAAAGGGTAGGAGGAGACTTCTCCGAAACACAAGGAACCCATAAAAAAAATTATGCTTAAAAAAAAAAAAAAAACACCAAGGGCAAAGATTAAACAAAGACACGGAATAGTCAAAGGGGAAGGGGAAGAAGGGTTTTTGCATTTTTCGTTTGGCCAATGGTTTTTTATTTCTTTACAAACTTAAAATGGGATTCTAATTTTTTATCAAAAATAAAATTCCTTTCCATATTGATAAGTTAGTAAGAAGAGAGAAAATATGATACAAAATTCAAAATTTTTTTTTTAAAATTTCATGATCTAGCATAGTAATTTTTTAGTTTTATTTTGACAAGTTGCTTTTTCTTAAAAAAATGTAAATCATTAACCATAATTAATTTAACCTGTAAAAATGGAATTTTTTATAGATAAAAAATTGAATATCTCATATCTAAAATTAACGTTATTCTTATTAAAATGGTCGCTTTTTAAACATTTGCTTTTTATTTAATTTCTAAAATATTTAAAATTAGAAATTGATTTTTGAAACTAAAATTTCACCATTCGAACAATAAAAAGAAAAATATTCTTTAGTCTTTTTCATGTAATTTCTCGTTAGCATTATTGAATACAAACAAATGTACGATGTATTTGACACTATTTCATTAATTTTAATAATATTATTATTTAAAATTATTTATACGAACGATAAAATTAATTTTGATAAAATTAAAAAAAAAAAATAATTATTAAAATTATAATTACAAATATTTATAAAAATTTATATAAAAAAATTTTATTAAAATTAATATTTAAATTTAACTTACTGGATTAATTCAATTATATCATGTTAAAAATACCATAAAATTTTTTTATTTTTTTATTTTTTTTGTTGCAAAGAGAGCATAATCCTACATCACAAAAAGAGGAGGAGAGACTAAGGCTGAACCCTAACTTTTATCTAACTTTTATGTCTTCTCAAGACTTACTTGCCTAGTGGCCAAGTAGCTGAAGACCCACATAATTCAAACCTTACTTAGGAGGTTTGTGGGAGCACCAACAATAAATTCCCACTTTCCGAATATGACATGACACACCTTCTTTTTTTAACATTAGATAGGGCCGGCTGATTACCGTCGACTCAACTGCTCGCTATGAAAATTTTCTCCAATTCGGCACTACAGTTAAAAGATGTAATGAATGTGATTATGATCATCTTTTCAAGTTGTATTTTCAAAATGGGTTTGAACTTGGAATAAAGAGGAATCAAACTTGACAATTAAACCAAAAATATTAGTGTCTGGTCTTTGATGTTGAACAATGGAGTGGTTTTTACGAGTAGTGGAGTTGTCAAATGAGTGGTTTTGGATAAAGCATAGAATAAGTTGGTTTTGTCCGTTAATTGGTTTTTTAATTTTCAGAATTCTGGAAGTCCACAAACACATAAAATGGATGGCATACGAGAGGAAGAAGTTTCCAAGTTTGAACCATACAAGTGGACGTGCTATATCAACGCTAAACCAACATGTGGACAAGGACAATGACAATCCTCTCCTTACACTTCCAGCCTCTCCACATCATTAATTTCACTCTCAAAAAAAAAAAAAAAAAAAAAGGAAAAAGCCAAAATTTGCTGGAAAAATTTCGAGTTAAATCAGCTCTCCAACTATTCTGTCCTGCGTGCCTCAAAGAACTGCAGATGAGAATTGAGAGCCTTGATTGCTGGTGGGTACCACTCCCAGCTTTAATTCTTGGCCATACAACAAACTTGTTTCTGCCGTAAACTAAAATGGACTTGGCAACCACTCGACATAAAAAATCATGGCTCAGAACTTCCTTCAAGGCATCCCATAAAGCCTGTGGCTTAATCATGGTTATCTTTTCCTGTTTTTTCAAAATTATTGCAGTCCTAATTACTGGTTATTACCCCCTTTTGGTACAATTAATTGAGCCCCCTCATAGGATTCCTTGATTTATGTTGTAAGCCGGGTTGGAGTAGCATTGTTAAAAGCATTTTCTCAACCACAAGTATAAAACTTTTGCTTGCTTTAATACGACAGAAGTTTCGTGGAAAAGGGCAAAAAATTAAGGAAGAAACAACAGAGAATTTCGTCAGGGTGCAAAATTCCATCTACATAAACTGCATGTGTAAAAATATTGGGTCATAATTTTCTCATGCCACCAGCCTTTATATATATGGCTATTTTCTTCCATTCTTAGCCATTCCATTCTGACTATCGATCATCCAAAAATGTGCAAAGGTTTACAACAAGGAAACCCATCAAGTTCTCTTCTGAAAGAGCGTGTCTTACCTAATGGAAACAGGGCTTCAGGCTTGGTGAATTGTGAGCTGTGCAACTCCAGGGCCTCCTTGTATTGCCAAGCTGATGATGCATATCTCTGTATGAAATGCGACAAACGGGTTCATGAAGCTAATTTCTTAGCTCGCAGGCACATCAGGTGCTTCCTTTGCCATACATGTCAAAATCTAACGCAGAGATATCTCATCGGAGCTTCACATGAGGTGCTGCTATCAACAATGGTGAGTTGGTCAGAGAGACGACAGTGTAACTCCGACATGGAAAGAAAGCATTCAACAACTTTTAAAACACCTTTTCTTTTTGTTTGATTGTCCTTTTTTTTTTTTCCTTATTTTAGTTTTTCTTCTATCTCTTATGCAACTTTTGGATATGGGGATCTTATCTGGTTAGTCTGCGCTATATTCGTATCATTGTGGAAGATATGGAAGAAACAGATTCCTGAATTGTTACATACATGCAAGCAACATATAGCCAAAGTCAGAGAGAACAACAACTTGAATTTGCAGGAATGAGAAGAAAGGGAGAGAACATTGACATATAGAAAACTGCTAGAATCATAACGTTGATGTAATCCTAAGTTCTCTAAAAACCAGATTGACTTTATCATTCATGCATTTTTGTTCTTTGTTCTGCACAATCTCATATTTAGCTTTCTTTCGGGGTGAATTAAAGCACCGGCATAGCTTGTGGGTGCCTTGATAGATTCTGTAATCGTTCCTTACTGTTTAATCAAGCTTTAGGTTGATCAATAAAACAATTCACTCTTTTTCACTGTTAGGAATCCAGTTTTTGGTAATTTTACCCGTATGAAGTTTACCCTCAAGGATCTAGTAACGTAGGTTTTTGCAAGCATGGTTATTGTAAATCTCTTTTCTTGATCAAATCTGTTGCTAAAAGAGGAGTAGGAAGTCGGAGCTTTGGTTTATCTAGTCATTTTTAAGAGGACAGATATGAAAACTTAAATTTCAATACTTGCGATACCTTTTTTCTATTTTCAAACTACAATTTTGTTTATATTAAAAAAAAAAAAAAGCTAGAAAATTTACGGGAAAATTTGTATGGTTGCTGGTGTTTTTGGCAAGAGAGATTCAGGTCGCCTACCATTCCTGTTAGGTCTAAAATTTACCTTAACCATTAGTCACTTAGAAAAGTCAAAAAATATCTGTTTATCTAATTTTAAGCCCTTGCTCATTTCAATGATGTACTTAAATTGGTATGTTTGCCTCAAAAATGTCAGAGGCTTCAACAGCTAACACCCGCCAATGTGTTATTGTCGTCCAATACTAAGCTAAATATTACAGAACCATTCAATTTACAAGTGTGGTCCGAATCATCCCGAGCGGAAGCAAGAATCTCAAACTAATAGCACTCACTATCTATGGGGTTCCAAGTAACAATTAACGACAAAACTTGCTTTACATAACAAAGGGGTTTATGGAGTGGCGGGCGCGTCAGCTAGCTAGCAGAAAGGTTAAGGTCCTATGTGCTTCATGATTTCATTGCACGATTTCAGATAATCACAAAATTTTCTTAGGAACAAGCTCCGTTTAAAGATGCTAAAGCCCTGTAACTTTTCGCTTTTCTATCTTCACAGATGGAATATTCTGATCATCACCTTCATATCCAGACCAGATTCTTCTCGTATTCAAAAGCAGACATTAATGCCAAATTGCCAACCAAAACTTGTAGTTCTTGTTAATCAGTCTTTGTTATCACTTCTCTCTGACACTTCCCCCGTATATATTTTGGTCAAGGCTTCCTGAACAAATGAAGGGAACGAAGTCAAAGTTACAGTATTCCATTCTCTCCTGAAACTACATCCCCTTCCTTTTTCAGGTAAGATCTTCTGTTTTCTTCTTTATAAAGATCTGTAACCAAAGCCAGCCAGCAAACCGGCTTGTATAACATACTGACTCAAAGCACAAAATTCAAGAAGATTTCTAAAAATAATGGTACATTTTCGCCCAACATGTGGTCACAATTGAATTTTATTTTTTGGTCATAAGTTAACTTCACTGTATTTTATATCAGCTTTGAACCATTATTTGCTTCCTTCATGTACATGGTACCTTATCCTCTTCCTTTTTTCTTCCCATGTGCTTTAAAGAGAAGAAACTTGCTTCTGATACTGACTCAGCTGCTTCAAGCAACATCCATATTCCATTCTTGGGAGTTCATTTCATCTGCAGCTAAAAGAATCATATATAATAAGAATATACGGTACTAAAATATGAAAGAAATCATTCTTGATAGTTCATTTCATCCATATTTCAATTTGATGATAATGGATCTATGCTTATCTCATGGAACGGAGCTGGTGCCCTATACAAAATAATATAACCAGATTGACTTGTAACAAGGGTTTTGCATTTTGCAACAGAGATTGAGAGGCGACAAATGCAAAATGAGGTCTAAGTATTTCGTAAAGGCAAAAGAATGTGCACCAATAGTTTAAACTTCAATGTTCTTCACAGCCAGTTGGACATGTTGGTGTGTTTATCTATTATTATGATTTCGTGTACAGAAACAATAGAATAACATACTCAGTGGTGAAGTGAAAATAACTTCTTTTTGTTTTTCTATAGGTAAATGAAGCATAGGAAAGCATCACGTCAATTTCATTAGGATGGCATGTAAGCAGTGGTTGTACAGGAATAATTTATTACTAAGAGGCAGATTACCAATCATATTTAGGAACTATAACACAAGCATAATTGAGGACGTTCATAGATCGTCAGGGTCAAGATCAGTTAGCTCGAGTGTCCATAACTCAAAAAATTCGAGGTGGCCAGCACAATAGATCTGCCATTGTTCATATAAAACAGGCTTAAGTAATGAAGCCAAATAATCCTCAGAAATATTGCTAGCAAAAATACCTGCATACACACAGGGAAAGTGAGAGAGAGGAGAGAGAACCTATAGCAGCATTAAGTTGGAATCTAAGGTTCACTGCCCCTCTTTAATCATGAAAGACTAACTAAACCTGCAATAATATGTACAATTGAAAAAGCCCAAGTTGAGCATGTGTGCAAGGCAATGACTCATTAAAAATATTCTAAGATAGGAAACTTAAAGTTGCATAACTTTATGCATTTTTATAAGCCATTGTTATCAACATTTGCAATCTGTCATTGAGCAAGAGAATTGATAATTTTTCAGCTATTGCGTCCTAAGAGATGAAATTAAAGGGATAACACTTGAACTTTTGAAAATGCATGAAATATGCTGCCAATGCTGCCTGTGATTAAGAAGTCGACATTGGAAACTTCAGCAAAAAGCAAAAACTTTTTACAAAATCTCCTCTAGCAGAAAACTAGTTTCCTACAAAAGCTGTCCAATCTGAATTTCCTGTTTACCTTTCCTTACATTATAAACCAAATAATTCAAAGCTTAACTCAGTAAGTTCATACATTCACCGTGATATTCAGCAAGTTTAAAGTTCAAATCTTATACTTACAAGTTACAACCTCTTCCCCTATCCAAAGGATACGGCCTCCTTTGTAAAAAAATGAAAACAAATAATCTCAATAGAAATGCCGGCTACTCTGGAGATGCCTATAAGCTTTTGATCTGTTTATTTCTATTTTCTTCACTCTAATGTTGCGGGTTTCTTTAATTTCTTCAATCTAGAGTTCTCTATAAGCTCTTTAGTTCAACAATTAGATCCATTATACACCTTTTAGTTCTTCGCTGCTAAAACAGGCTATAATTTCAATGTCAATTTGCCCACACTTAAACCAATTAGCGAAGGATATAAAACTTCAAATAAAGCTGAATCACCAAGAAACATTTACTGCTGAGCCAAGTGATTAGCATTCTGACTTCTGTGATGGATATAAGTTGGATGCACATGCCATATCTAATTCTAAATGATACGATGAAGATACTTTTATATCTGCATCTTTAAATCTTTAATGCTTATCATGTCATTACAAGCAACATGTCTGTTTATTATCTTATTAAATCTGTTACCTTCAAGATCAGGAACATGATTTCATCAATAAAGTCCTGATGATGTAAATGACCCGCAATTACATAATTAAAGAATCAAGTTTTATTCTACAACAAAAAGGGATTACAAGGGAAGGAAGATGGTTGGCAATCCGAGACAAGTTGTATGGCGTCCAGTACCAGCATTCGAACGAATTTTTGCTATCCAAATAAACTCAATCTTCTCTCATCCACACGCGGGAACGCATTGAATCTAAGGGCTCAAACTCATTCTACCGCACCAAGTCAGCCAAACCCTCACATCTCCACCATCCAAACAACCAAAGGGATTCCCACTTCCTTACCTTAATAATATCAAAAACCAGTAACACACTTTTGTAGCATCTCCTTCGAGAACTAGTAAAACAAGAGGCTCTTGACCACCCAAATGTCTCCAATACTTTTCTTCACAACGGATTAAATGTTAGCCACCGGCGACTATCTCACCTACCAAATCCGACGATCGCATCAGCAGAGACGGCAACACCCAAAGTCCTTACCATAATTTCCTCAGTGCTAGAAAAGCTAGTGGTCCGAAACGACAGGCTCGTCGAGGTCCTGAGCAAGCAGCTCGATGGGTTGAACTCCAATGGTAGCTCTGCTCGGTTAGGAAAAAGTTTTCATGCTTTTCATGGCGTTACGGCTCCTAATATAAGCATACCAAAGTACTTGGAGAGGATATATAAGTACACAAATCGTAGCCCCCTGCTTTGTGGTAGGATACTTTTATATGGACGGGCTGGCGCATAATCAACCTGCTCGTCATATCCTTGAATGTGCATAGATTGCTTGTTAATAGTGTCATGGTTGCTTCTAAGATTCTTGATGATGCGTAAGTCCTCTAATTATTATGTCTTCTTCTTTTTGCTGCTGGTATAGAGTTAATTTTAGTTTTGCGCAGCATTTGATTGTTTGAGAGATTGCGGTTTCTTTAAGTTTTTTTTTTTTCTCTGATTCTTTGGAGTAATGGATGAAAAAACATGAGTGCAAGAGTTTGGCTGAAATGCATTCTTTTAATTTCCAGACACTTCACTCTGAGCGCCTATCCTACATGACATCAACAAACCTTTTTCTGATTCTCAAGGAAACAAACAAAGCTGCCAACAAATGAAACAATCATGTAACAGCAATTTTTGTTGTTTGCTGTTTTTTAATTTGTTTGGTTCTTGGAAATGCAGGCATTATAACAATGACTTCTATGCTCGGGTAGGGGGAGTGAGCAATGGTGAGATGAACCTGCCGGCTAGAACTAGAACTTCTTTTCCTTTCGGATTTTGGGGTCACGGTTAGTCCCCGAGTTTTTGAAAGCTATTGCTTCCACTTGGAAAAAGAGATGTTGATTAACATTGGTGGACAGAAAGTTGAAAGGGAAATAAGCCCCGTTGCCGTCGAAGATGTGACTAATATGAGTTGAAGATACACAAAGCTGTTCGCCGCCATTTTATGGTTTAT